GAAAATTATTATTATTATTATTATATAATTAATTGATAGCACGTATTAGAAATTCAGCGTTTTAAAGTGAAAATATCGAATTAGCCGTACTAAATGAAGGATCTATTTATATTTTACGAATCATATTCGTTATCGTCGCCATTTTAAAAAATGGTGAATATTTCTTTACTTACATTTATAATTATTCGGTAATTAATATTGAAGGAAAACTTTACATTCCTTTGTTTTAACTAATCTGATCGATAGATTATTTCTTTTATTAATTAAAATTAATCATTTTAATTAAGATTTATTCTTCCAAAGATAAAGAAAACATTTAAACAAGAGTCTAATTTATCTTTTGCTATATTTATTTTAAATATTTGGATCATAAACAAAAGTAATTTTCTATCCGGAAGGTAGAAATATAAATATATTTACATTATATACCACAGGAGTCCGGGTTCGATTCTCGTTCGGGATAGATCTTCCTCTTCATCCCTCTTGTTATCCAAGCGAAATACAATTGTTCTTTGAAAATAGAAAAGTGTTTGTGCTCTACAGGAACGCATTAAAAGATTTTTAGAAAATATCAGCAATATATGAAACCAAAGTACAATGGTAGGAAGGCAATAGAAGAACTAAAAACTGATATCGGATTTTCCGAGGTCAAATATTTTTCTTTTTAATCGATTAGAAAACTGAAATTGTTACAAAAGCGAAAACAAAAATGATTACTTAAACGGAATTTTTGTGTAATTCAACAAAACTTATCCCTATAAAATCCCTATTTAAAAAAAATTCTCTACCGTTGTTGTTAATTATTATGAGAAACTGGACAGAACAATACTATAATTTAACAAAAGCCGATAATGGAAAAACAATATTTTCGAACGAAAGTTTTGTTTCTATATTAATAGTTTTTGATTCCCTCCTACAGATCTAACGACTGTAATCTATATACGTAATGAAATACCGTTTTCTGTTAGAATCAGAAAATGTTTTGCTGTTGCAGATACAATCTTATAAACTACACCATTAATTTTGGCAACTTCAAAGATCTTAACGACAATAAGATCTTAAATTAGATTTTCTTCCAGATTATCGTAAAAAAATAAACATTTCTCAAAAATATTTAACTGTAAATTTACAGTAATATATTTATCCCTTCTCTTGCAATTTTTATGATGATTGCTAGCAATTTCATTTTTTTTAAGAGAATAATTTCACTGATTATAAATTTTTTTCTTATTTAAATCAGTATCATCAGAACAGTGATGATGATTTAAATAAGAAAAATTAATGGAATATTTTGTAAAAGAATTAAAATAATAAAATTTTTACAAAATTTCCTCTGTAATACTTAATTTAGCAATTTGTTAATGTATAATCTCAAAAATTTTTGGCAAGTTTTTTTACTATAGTAAATTAGAAAATTATAACTAATAATAGAAATTCTTCTAAACTTATTTACAATTTTAATTATTCTTCTATTAAAGTTAATTTATGAAGAATAAGAATAGCAAAAGGAGTATTTTCTTATATAAAAATCGAAAACACCTTTGATCAAAGTGATGATTCCAAGAAATGCTTTTAATCTCAAGAAATATACTATGAAGCTTTCATTAAATAATAACAGAATAGCCGAATTACCTCGACATTGCTAGAAAATCGAATATCTAAGTCTAGAACCATTTCACCCCCTTTAATTCTTCTTACACGTTACAGAACCAAACATATTATTACAGATTTCAATTAAAAGTAAAGACCTGATCTTTCCATGTCTTCAAATCGAAGAAAATCAAATATTTAGAGTTTATAATCATCCTTTGAATAAGATTTCTTTAGTTGTTTAAAATAAACAATTTCCTAAATAATATAAATTTTCAAAAATTTAGACATTAATTTTATTTTTGAAAGAATTAATATAATAAAATTATTTTTTAATTTGAGTAAAATAAAAACGAATTACAAGAAAGATTATAAATTTTTTATTTTAATAAGATTAAAATAGCGTATTCCTTTATATTATATGCAATAATTTAAATTTTATGACCTGTTCGAGCATTATTATTATTACAATTTAAAATTTTATATGATTTTGACGGGTAATGTTGTCAAGTTATATTTTAAAATCTTAATAAAATTAATCAAACGGGAAAGGTCAAAGTTCGGTACTTCGCTATTATCATATGTTGACAGTTTACAGAGAGTGAAAAAATGTAAATTTCCTAATTAAGACGGAAACACCTGCTCAAATACTGAAAACAAGAATCAATAGTTGAATCTTTATCATTTGAAAAGAATTGCAATAAAAACATCATCTTTTCAGACTTCTTCAAAAGAAAATGACTTTTCTATTGAATTAAATTTTCTACTGTAGCTTTATAAATGCGAATAACTACTAAATCTATATAGTTCGATTGCTAAGGAAATATCCAAACACTTTAACAACGTCATTCTTATTGGCCTAGACATAAAAACATCTCTAAGAAAACAAACTAACTAACTAAACCGCATGGAAGATATTGTTAATAGTAAAATTTACGATATTTAAGATACACACAATGTAACAAAATAAACGTTAAAGTGTAAGAAGTACGCTCTAAAATAAAAAGTGGCTCAAAAGTCGGTTAACCACGTTTTTTTCTGTGTTTTGTTTCTGTATGTTGTTCCTATAGGCCTACTTGTGAAGTGAATTAATTGTAAATTGAGCTTAGAATCTTTTACATAATTGGTAAAAAAAATACGATTAAATATTTGAACAAGACGGTTAATTATATTTTACAATGGTTAGATGAATTTTTTGTGGAACATCCTGTACATATTCAATGGATTATTTAAAGACTTATTTGATAAATCCTGTTAATTGTTTTGATCTATTTTTAACTTTATAATAGAGCTCTGTAATCATCCGTTAGGAGAAATTGGATTATTTTCTAACCAACCAGAACCGGGCTTGTTTAATGTTAATGATATTTCAATACGCTAAAAAACTAATTATCAATTACAAACAATTCGGAAATATCGTTCTTTCTCATCTGAAAGATACAAAATAAAGCTTAGAAAGTCTTTTAAATATTTCTAATAGAACAGATGTTAACTACACGTAAATTATATATTAGAAATGATGGGTTCCTATTTATAAACAGAAAGCATTGATGAATATGCGAGAAAATTTGAATGATATGTCGAAACCTAAGCTAAAATCGGAAGTACTTAATTCGTTTGTGACAAAATATAGAACTGGTCACAGTCGAAATCATTGAGTTTTCTAGAAAATATATTTCATAAGTTGTAAAGGTTTAATCAATCTTCCAGTAGCTTATGTGATTTCTGTATAATATCGTGATTCTGTCAAATTAGATTGGATGAAGTTAAGACATGTTTCTTTTGGTTGATAAACTGAGAGCTGAAGTAATATATGTTGGCTTTGTGTCAATAAATCTTTTATGTATTCACTCAAGGACAGATATTGCACATTGGATTGTACTATATTCTAATCAACAAAGTAATGGAAACAAGTACTGTGATGATATATACATTAATTTCGAAATAGTCAGGATATATGTGGAATAAGTTTATCTATTGATTTGTATCATTTTGTTAACTCAAATTTCATTAAAAAACTTTATGAAAAAAAGATATCAAATTTCCATTAAAATATAAAATATTTTTAATAAAACTAGTGAAACAGAACAAATATGAGGACATAGAATTACAATGATTGTAAATAAATTAAGAAAATGTTTTAGTACACTGATATAAATTTAACGAATTGGAGATGTAATAACAAACTAAATGACAGTATCGTAAATTGACGGAATATTTAAGCATTTCATCATAACAAAAAAATATTTTTTTTGTTATATAAGATTTTACAGCAAAATGATTTTCTCTGGAACATATTTTTCTAGTTTAAAATTTCATTCCATCAATGAAAATGCAAGTACTAGAAACAATTTTATCTATTAAATGTCATTTATGGAATATATAATAAAAAACAGATTACTATAATTACGATTGTCTAAGAAATTTTATGTACTTTCTCCCTATAAAATATGTATAGTAATTGTTTCTAGTCTCTAGTTTTTTCATCAATAGATCATTAAATCGATAATAAAGTATCATGTTTCATCCATAGAGCACAATCATATCCTTTTAAATTTATTTTTAGATTAATTTATAATTTTTTTTATAAAATATTGCTTATTAAATATTTCAATAGGGAATTATATATATATATATTTTTTAAAGAATGTGAAATTAAAAACTAGCACTTCATTTCTAAGCAAATTCAATACCTTTACTGAATTGTATATTTTCATTTTCCATGCACACAGTTGGAAACTTTTGATATCGGAAATCACATTTATCATTCTGTCGATGAAAAATGGAGAAAATTATATTATATGCTGAATTTTTACTTTTCATTTCCAGTAAAAATTTTCCATCTTCCATATCAAACTTAGAAAATAGAAAAAAATCATAATAATAAAAGCTTGTTTTACATTAATTAAAATAAATAATGCAGAAAATACAATACTAAATATGATTTTAATAGAAATATTTACAACTTGTTAACTTTATTTTCTAATTATAATTTATTGTCAATTATGCTGATTCCAAACACCTTAATGGTTATTTAGAGCTTCATTGTTATCAATCAAAAATAACCATTGTTCTGCTAAATTTTAAGTTAAACTGGAAAATATATATTCAACATTTCTAAATTCATAAGATTAAAAACAGAAAAAAAAAAAATACAATAAATATATTTAGATGCATATTTGCGATGTAAAAAAAAATTCATTTGCATCCAGAAAGATCTGAAAGAATACAAAATATGAAGGTTTTGATTAAACAAAAAATTAAATTCTGTTACTTGTGTCAATTTTATTCTGTGCAATACAATTAATGCTGATTACTTAAACAGCAAGAGGCAAGATAATATTACATGTGAACAGAATTAATTACTGAGCTGCATGAATCAGATGTTATCACAGTAAGGCAGGAGCAAAACAAACAAATTCCTTTTATTATGAGCACGATAAAAATACTTACAAATTACTGTCCTGAAACCCTAACTAACCAAGGATGCCATCACCTTAACTTGACAGGCAAAAGTTCAACAGATTTCTTTTCTATACTTACAGATATACACAATAGTACAAAACTGTTTTGATTAGAATTTATCTAATATAGTTAACTGAGGAAAAAATGCAATTATAGTACAGATCCAAATGTAAGAATTGGAAACATGCATATGGACTGTATAAAAGGATAATAAAACATCTTTACAGATGGATGTGTACTAATATCTACATAACAAGATGGTCAAAATTTGTAGATACCTTTTCTAAGGACAATAATGGATATTCTTAAAATCAGTTTAACATATGATTACACTATAAATGCTTATAATTCTGATGAATTCAATAACTGGATTGATGCACACAATGGATCATCGATGTTGATCTGAACAGACAAATTTCAGTGGAACTTGAAAGTATACTGTCAAGGCACATTTTCAGCTGAAATAGAACAGACTCATTGTAATTTGTTGGCCATTTTGTGTATAATATGTCCGTTGTAAATTTGCATACGTTCTCTAAAATATTACCAAACTGCTGAAAGACAAAATTTAAGCCTTAAACAATCTGAAGAACAATGTCCATCTACTTTCAGATTTTTGGCACACTAGTGGAAGTCACTACAACAGGAATGATCACAAAAAAATGCTGTTGAGTTGCAATTGGATCATAAAATAATGCTTCAGAAATCATGATAAGAAAATAACAACAATAACAATAATAAAGGCATTAGTAATAAACAACAAGAGTTCACAAAAATAAAACTAAGATACACATGAATAAAAATGAGGTGTGTGAAGATTGCATTTATGCATATTACAATGAATTAATTCTAGTTTCTATATCTGAATCTCAATAACCTAAATAGTTTGTTATCTATATCAAAGACATTCCCCAAATTGTTGCTGCACAAAGTTTGTTCACATTTGTTCGGATTTCATTTCAATAACCCGAATAACCAAACCAGATATCTGTAATTATTGCTGCCAAAAAACTATTCACCAGAAGCTGCATTCAGTCCATCGGGTCATTAGTTGATTTTTCTGATAACAAAGGAAGAACATTCATACAGGACGGAGCACCAGAATCTTCTTTTGAGTTAAGAACTTTTTAATATCTACAAAGGCACATTGTTTATGAATTTATCAGTAACTCATTATATACTAGCACCAATCAGCCATATAGGTGAAGTCAGCAAACATAGCTTGTTCATTTGAAGTTAAAGTTCTTGGATCTTTAGGTGGTGTTAAAGCAGGATTTTCTGAAGTAAATTCTTCATCAAAATTACTCACATCCTCAAGAGATCGCTAAAAAAGAAAACAAAATAATAAGAAATTCACATTTTTAAATCTTTAAGTAGTTTTTTATTTTATACATGAATATAAAATAAGAAATCTGCAGATATGTTAAATTTTAAAATATAGGAAAAACTTCATTAATAAGTAATAAGATCTTAAAATAGTTTTTGTATATACATTCAATTTATATATATATGTGATGCTCATAAGGGATCTAATCATATAAGGAGTCAGTCACTAGTTTAGTAGTTTCTTTATTGCTTTGTGGTTTTGTCAAAGATATATTTCAGGCTCAAGCGACTCATCAGTTTTAATAATTCTGATGTCAGATCAGGTCAAAATTAAGATTAAGTACAAAGTAATTTGACAAAAATAATATACATACAGATTATAGATTTGTAGAGTAATTAACCAGTAATATTATGGCATGATTGGATGACATACAAAATAATAATAGTAGTAAAATCTAAAATACAAAGGTAATATATAATTAAGAAAAAGTTAAAGTCATGTAAAAAAAAAATTAAAAATACCTTTAAAAATATAAGCATATATATAATCATTGGGTTCAATGAGTGAGAAAACTGAAATGGGAAACTAAAAGAGAAAAAGAAATATGAAATGAAAATCATTTTATAAACACCTTTTTGGCTCCTCGGATTTGCTTTTATTTAGCAAATGTTTCCGACCTAGTCTAATAGGCCATCCTCAGGCTGCAATTTTTTTTGGAACATCTTAACTGTGAATATCTTATAGAATGATTTTGAATTATTCTGCTGAGGTTGATTTAGTTTATTGAAATATTAAATGTACTAAATAGGTGTGAAATTGAATTATAAAGATAAAATGAAAGATAAAATTACTTGTTGAAGATAGTATGAGGATGTGGGTATAAAAATGAATGGAGGGAAGTTAAGTACTGTTCATTTTTATACCCACAACCCCAAATTATCTTTTGCATAGTCTGGGTTACGTTGGTTAGTCAAACATCTTCACCAAGTAATTTTATCTTTCATTTTATCTTTATAATTCAATTTCATACCTATTAAATACATTTCATATTTCTTTTTCTCTCTTAGTTTCCCATTTCCGTTTTCTCACTCGACTGAACCCAATGATTATATATACACTTATATTTTTAAAGGTATTTTTAATTTCTTTTTTTTACATTTTAGTGTTTAATTTTTTCTTAATTATATATTACCTTTGTATTTTAGATTTTACTACTCATATTGTTTTGTATGTCATCCAATCACGTCATAATATTACTGGTTAATTACTGTACAAGTTTATAATCTGTACATTTGTTCATAAAATAAATAACATTTGATATTATTTATTTTTTGAACAAATCATAATTTATAATTCTAAAATATCTATGCATTTTGAAGTAAAATTAATTATGAAATAATCACGCAAATATCACATATTCTTAAAAATAATTCCATCAATTAAAAAAAAATACTGTAATTCTGAATTACACAATTTTAAAATAACATACTTACAAAAAAGTTCAGCATGTTATTTATATTATAAATTTTTATACTATCACAAAAAATATACTTTTAAAAATTCTATAAATAATCAATTTATTATATCTGTACAGGGAGTAAACTCTGTTAAGTATGTTAAATCTCACAGACAAATAGGAATTAATTCATAATTTATTACAAAAAAAAACAAACAAACATTAAAAGAAACATCATGAAGACTTTTCCATGGGAACAAGATTTTCAAAACAGACTTTTTTTAATTTCATAAAATTTCTTTAACAAAAAAAATAAAAAAAGTCAAACTAATTTTGAGTCATTAAGATTACAATTTCTCTGTGTATGTAATAATAGTTTATTTTTCAAATGCAGTGAAATAGAAAAATTTTTTAAACAAACAATATTAGAAAAAAAAATGTTTTCCATTCCATTAAATAAACAACAATGACAAAAAATTAATATATACTGTATATATTTGTTGTCATAAACAGATAACATATCCTAGCAATGACTTTTTTTCTTCTTTCTTATTATAAGTAATATTTTTAATTTCAAAATAATACATTTCAATAACTTCAAAATGAATAAAACTGATTACCATAATGTAAAAAATCAAACAGTCTGCTACTAATTAAGACAAAATGGAAAAGTTTATTTACAAGAAATGTTAAATATAAGCAAAAAAAAATTTTCTTGCCAATAAAACTTTCCATTGTTTTGCTCTAATTAACAACCTGCATTAATTTTTTATTTCTTATTTAAAATTGAAATTATACCACAAAATGTAATAATAAATTATGAACATTTGAAATATATAAATATACTTTCAGTAATTTGAAAATTTAATACATAATTAATGCAATAGCTGTATTTTACTGGAATCAAATTCAAAATATAAAAATGGTTCTTATTTTTCTCTTTATTCTTCCATATCTACCTACATAAGTAAATGATCTAGAAGAGACATATAAAAAAATTTCTTACCACAACAGGAACAAATGGTGGTTTTATTTGCCTCATTAATAAATCTTCCCAATTGATATTCTACAAATAAATAAATACATTTTTATCAATTCACATTTTAATAAATTTCAAAATAAAGCATATTATCAATTTATATATTCATGCTGTTAGTTGACAACCATCAAAGAGAGTAACTACTATCATCCTTGTTTAGAAAGGAAGATAAACTTAGCATAAACCAACAAATAAAAATTGTGTACACTGACACAATTTCAAAAGAACTTAGTGTGTTTTATAAATCCTTTTTTTTATTGTCACTATCTCTTTCTTATGGCTAACACATGCATAATAAATCTCAATGTTAAAATTTAGTAACTAAATTACATAAATCAAAAATTATTTATATCTCTTTAATTATTAATAAAAAATTCTAAATTTTAAAAGACTGAATTTAACATCAAAAGAATGAAAATTGATTTACATTACTTGTAATTTTGGTTCATAAATTTATAATGCAATTTTTAAAATTTTATTCAGTTTTAGAAATTAATCATTATAGAATAGAATAAAATTTTTGCAAATTGCATAAAAACTTGATCTCATTTTTCAAACTCACAAAATTATAATTAATTCTAAACATTTTGACATACTTCATAAATATTACTTTAAATATTGTATGTTTGACATTTAAAACATTTAATATAAAAAATTTCAAATTGTTGACATTAAACAATATATATTATATTAGATGATCCATAGATAATTTTTTTTCAAATTTGCAATTAAGATTATCAATATATAAAAAATTCAATTAAGATATTTTTAAGAGTTAGGGACAAAAATATTTATTATTTTCAAGAAATAAATTTTTCCATATGTTTAAAATTCTGCAAATTTAAATCTTAAATCTAACAAAAATTAATTTAAGGTTTTAGATTATCCTGTTTTTCAAAGCTAACTTTTTTATTATATATTTTTATTTTATGTACAGTACATTTTTATAATGTACTGTACATAAAACAGTTTTTCTAATTTCTAAAAAATTTCTAATTATAAAAATAAAAAATAATGATAAAAACATAATAAAAAACATATTCAAACAGAATTCTAAAAAATATTGATCCTTATTTAAAAAAATAGCAGCATTCATATTTATATCACTTAACTATTAATACTTAACCTACACAAAAATGTTAAAATCTTTTATGAATGAAAAATTAAATACAATCCAATTAAATATTAATTTTAATTACACTAAAGTTTTTGTTTATTGTGTTAAAAAAATCATTTATTTGATTAGGCCAATTTCAATTATTCATAGAAAAACTTAATATATATGATTTTAATTAGAAAATGAAGTTTCAATGAACATTAATATAACTATTTAAATTACATTGTAAAAAATGCCTATGCCATGAAACTTTTCTAACAACATCTGTGATAGTCTATGGCTGAAATTTAAATACATTTATATTAACTTTCAACAAAAATATTAAGAAATTATATTCTTTAAAGTAATCAATATATATGCATTTCTTGCCAACTTGAAATAAAGTGTAATATATTCATTAAAAAATTTGATATATAAAACTGTACTTACACTTTAGTATGCTTAATATTACTATATTTTTTTTAAAGACCTACTAATAAAAATCTATTTAATCTATTCTTATTTCTCATTAATTTGTTAAAATAATCTGTAAAAATATAATTCTAAGGACAGTACAAAGTTCTTATTTTTGAGTAAGAGTTTACAACTTTGACATAAACTGCTTCATAAGATTATGACAATTCATAACTAAAGTTCGTGTACAATATTTTATAAACTGTAGAAGAATGTTTTTGTTAGCCTCAAATGAAACAGGTTTTTGCATGTAGAGTGACAGTCATTAGTCATAAACAGATAAATTAATCTGAGCATCTTCATTTCTGTTTTCTATCTATGTAACATATATACACAAATATACACCATTTCTTTACTTTATTGTACTTTAGTAGTTAAAAAGTAAGTGAAATTGAATATACTTGCTCAATCTTGACAGACCAGATAGGAATAATGCATATTAGCTATGATTTGCACAAGGCACCTAGGAATTTTTAGTAGACTAATGAATGGAGGCTCTACCATGGTTTGGGGAGCATTCTGTTATGATGCTAAACTTGTTCTTGTTAAAGTTAGCATTAAATTAAAATCTGAAAATTATCAAGCATTATTGGAAAAACATTTGATCCCATTTAGATTATATTTAGAAGAAAATGGTACTACCAACAAGACAACACCCCTGCCATAACTCAAAGGCAATTCAAGACTGACTTAAAGCAAAAAAAATTAATATCTTACTTTGGCTATCAAGAGTCCTGACTTAAATCCCATTGAAAACATTTGGGGGTTCTAAGTCAGAAAGTATATGCAAACAATTGCTGATTTTCAAGTGTTCAAAAACTTGAATGTAAAATTATAGGCCAAAGGGATAATATTGTCAATTACCTATTGAAAAAAATTGGTAGAATCAATGCCAAACACACTATTTGAATGGTATGAAGAAAAGAGCAACAATCAACTGTTAATCAACAAAAAAAATTACTTCTCAATTTTTGTTTTCATGATGGTCTTATAATTTATTAACAGTAAAAACTTGACTTTTGTAAAACTAATAACTAAAATGTGTTAAGATTGTTCAACTAATTGTTCAAAACATAATTATTGTATTTATTTTGTTGAGAATAATTGATTATTAAACATTGTTAGTTTTGAGGAAACTAAAAAAAATGTGGTGATCTTATAATTTCTTAACAGACTGTAAGTCTTAACAACAAAACAAAGTGCAAAACTTATACATCTTTAATAACATTGAAAACAATTACCCTGAAAAAAGCTTGCTTTTTAACATCATCTGCATCTCTCTCACTTGCACCAAGACGGCGATCAGGATTTTTCCTAAGTAACTGAAATGATAAATATTTAATCAATAAAGAAATTATGCTAATAAAACACAGTTCTAAATGTAAATTTTGTAATAAAACATTTTTTACCCTCCGCATAATAGCAATTGCTTCTAAAGAAAGAAAACGAGGATATCTAACTTCATCATTGACAATACTGTCAAAAACTTCTTCCTCATCATCTCCAGGAAAAGGTGACTGAAATTAATTTAAACATGTATATCAAGTTATAAATATCATAAATATAAAAATTTAAGATCAATTTCCATGAAAAATAATTACTTCTCCAACTAGCATTTCAAATATAAGAACTCCTAGTCCCCACCAATCCACAGCTCGTGTATAAGATGTTTCAGTAAGAACTTCAGGTGCTAAGAATTCAGGTGTACCACAAAATGTTCCTGTTCTATCACCATAACCCATACCTTCTTTACATAATCCAAAATCTGCAATTTTTACATATCCTTCAGCATCTAACAGAAGATTATCCAACTTAAGATCTCTGAAAAAAAAAGCAAATTTTAATTTTCATACATATTTCCCTAATATTTCAAATTTATTTATTATTATTTCATAAGATTACTTCATTCCATTCCATTAGAATAAGTATGCTACTTCTATTTATAATCATTTGTTGTATTTTAAGATGGAAATTCTTTTTAATCAGTTTTAAAATATTTTAGAAAAATAAAAACAACATAAATAGAAACAAAATATTTCAATACAAATAGAATGTATTTATTATTGTTAATGCTACTCTAAATAAATAAATTATATATATATATATAAAACAATCTCAATTTTGAAACAGACACAAACTGCTCTATGTATACTTCAATTTTAAAGAATAAACAATTTTTTGAGAAGTATGGAACTAAAGTTTCTACTGTTCACAAGTCAAATATCAATACATAAAAGAACAAACAGAGTTCAGAAATAAAGATAATAATGAAGGAAATAAAGGCAAAAAAAGAAATTGTTAATAAATATAAAAAAAGTAATTTATATCATACTATAAATTACTACAAGAAAATCTTTAAACAAAATATTTTCTTTCTTTTAAGTTTTTTTGTAAATAAACTTTGGTATAAACAATCATATTTTGAATTTTGTTACTAATTCAGAAAATATTATTTGTTGTTGTTTTTGAATGTATTTTCTTAATTTTTAAATGACTGAATTATTACATAATAATTCTATGAATTAATTAGATTTACCTATAAATGATTTTATTTTCATGTAAATACTGCAAACCTAAAACAACACATGCTGCATAAAACACTGCTCTTGGTTCTGGAAAAATATCTGTATGTATGTGCATCATAAGATCTCCACCACATGCATATTCCATTACAAAACACACATGACTCTAGAAATTAAGAAATGACAATAACAATTTAAAATTATTATTAAATTTTAAATTAAAAAAAGCATTAACAGTATCTCAAAAATTACATTATTATTAATGAAAAATATAAAAATACTGAAATATAAAGTTCATAAGTTTCTTAATTTTTCTCATAAATAGTTTAAATCTTACTTTTATTTTAAAAACTTATATATTTTCATTTAAGTGTGTTCCATAAGATTCAAAATAAAACTACAAATGTGCATTAACTTTTTAAAGTAAATAAAATGCAATATAGAATTGATGTTAATATTATAGACAGCTTATTTATCAGATCATAAAATCCTCAAATTATTTGTTAACTATTTAGTCATTATTTATTATGATTTTTTGTATATATCTAGTTATTCGTATTTCATCTAAATTTGGTTTTTTCCCTAGGATAATTTAATGGCAAAAAAAATGAGGCTATGCTATATTATTCTTATTTGCAAGTATATTTATATATACAATTGTAATGAGATCCATGATTATATAGTAGTGCTCTCAAAAATACTAAGGACATCAACAAAGAGGGATTTTGTTTTATACTTTTAATTTTCTTCTTTGATTTTTTTGAATAGCAATTTTATAAAGTAATGATATTTTTATAAGTGTAAATTTATTTTGATAGTCATTATATTGAAGCAATTAGTTCATGTAGGAAGAAATTATCTCTCTAGTTATCCTTTACATTGTATTCAAACACTGTACTATTTAGAAAACAACAACACATTTTATAATGTAGTTGAATTTTTCACTTGATTTTTACATGTATTTATTTTTCACTCTCATGAAGATTGAAGAAGCTAATGTAAATAGAAACAAACATGTTCAAATAACGTGATTTTAGTGAATCAACTGAGATCTAAATTTTGTATGTTGTGCCTTTAAAACACATTTTGTGAGTATCACTGAAAAATATAGCAAATTTTCTTATCTAATGCCATAAAAAATTTTAAAAATAAACAATGATATAATTCAAAAACTTTCAAGCTTTCAAAAAAAAAAGTTTCATTAAAAACTTCTTGAGCTTTTAGCAACTATAATCTAAAGTGTGAAAAACAGTCATAAAATATATTCCTTATCATTCTGTATGTATGTGTATAATTTATAATATTATATATATTTGTAATTAAAATATTAAAACTGATTTTAATAACTAATGTATATAGTAAAAAGTTATTAAATAACTTACTGTTGTTTGAAAACATGCAAATAAATTAACTAAGAATGGATGACGAATAGAGTTTGCCACTTCAAATATCCTCCTTTCAGCCATAAGACCTTCTATTTCATCTCTAGCAATTATATCTCCTTTCTTCAAAGCTTTAATTGCAAAATACTCACCAGTGTTTTTATATCTACTTAAAATTACCTGAAATATTAACATCTCTTAAATAAATAAATTACTGCTAATAAATTTAATCGCATTATTTTTTATAATTAATGAACAGTTTAAATTCCATTAATTATCTCTTACTTTGCCAAAATGTCCTCTCCCTAAGACACTAATAAACTGAAAATTTTCTAAACTCATTCCTGATTTAATCACCATGCTGTAAATAAAAATTATTAGCTTGTTTAATTACAGTGATCATATATATAATAATAATAATTAATTAATAAATAAGTAAATTACCATTCTGGTTCTATATTACTATTTTGATACTCCTCAGGAGGAAGAATATCATCATCTGGATGTTCGATAACAGGTTCCGGTGAAATTGACTTCCTCATTACAAGATTATCAAGTGAAGAATCTTTGCTAACATCATTACTTAAGAAATCAAATTCATCCAAAGCTGTCTGAAATTTGAAGTTTTTTATAATTTAATGCTACAAATAATCATAATTCAACTATTTTTTTCTAAAAACTTGTTTAAATTTCCATAACAATAAAAAAATGCAAGACCCAAGATCTTTCATAAAAATTCAGAAATTATGAAAATTAAAAAACAAACTGCAATAATTATCAATAAATAGTGCTTTAAATATAAATTTTATGCAAAAAAGGAACAAACATTCTAAGACTAAAAGAAATGTATAGATCTGATATAAGTAGAAAGAACTGATTTGAATTTTAAACAATTTTCAAATAATATTAAGTAACTTCAAATGACATTTTGAAATGTGTTTAAGTTTTAAAGAAAATTTATCTATTGTACTATTTTCAAATTTTATATTTTTGTTATATTAATTCATTATCTGCAAATAAACTTTCATATAAAAGAGTTACAAATTTCAATTCTGTTCTGAATATAAAAACAGTACTTTAACAACTATATTCTTGATTTTTATAAATTTAAGCTTTGAATATGAATGATTAAGAAATATATTTAACAAGAAATCTTTTTTAAAAAATTGTTTTGTTTAAAACAGTTTAGTATTTAAGCACTCATTGATATTAATAGAAAATTCAATAGATGAAAGAATGAAGATAATGATGAGTATTTAATGACAGTCTAATATTTTTACTTTATAAACAAATTTCAGTTTATATGTTTAACATTTCATAAAACTGAACAAACTTTTTTTATAATTTAAAACATGCATTTATTCTTTATAAAATTTAAAATGATTCAAAAATACTTACTCTTACATCCATTTCTAATGATGTATTGTAATTGGTAGATGATTTATCTAAACTGCATTTTTCTAAATAATTACTTCCATCTAATTCATTTGGTTCAGTTATTATTGGAGAATCAAAATTTAGTTTTGTAACTACACTGTCATCATTTTTATTTTGAATATCTGAATAATAAAAATATTCTAAATATACATAGAGTATATAAAAAATACATAAATATCTAAAATATTTAATTTCTTACTAGGAGAAATAATACAATCTGTTGAAGGACTAATTGTTGTTGGTTGTTCAGAGCACGCCTGAGGCATTGCACGTTTCATAAGTCGTCCCCAAGTTGCAACATTTATATTCATTTGTCCAGGGCGAAGAAAATTTTTTCCTGTTAAAATTTTATTAAGAAATTTCAACTGACTTATTTTAATATATCATATTAAAACAATAACAATAATAATAATAATAAATATACATAAACAATAAATTCTTTTAAAAACAAGATTAGTTTATTAATTTATATATNAATGCTTATTTTATAATTATAACAAATTAGGAGAAAAAAGTCTTTAACACAGCAAAGCTCATATTCTTTCATATAGAATATTGATATAGTTATAAAATAAGTATTGGGCATATAGATCCTAGCATCTATGCTAGGATCTATATGTCCAATGCTTATTTTATAATTATAACAAATTAGGAGAAAAAAGTCTTTAACACAGCAAAGCTCATATTCTTTCATATAGAATAAGAACAATTAGTTATGAATAATTTCAATAAAACAAAAAAATTCTCGTGAAATTCTTATAAAACAATAAAAAATATATAAACAATAAAAAAATATTTGTAAGGTTTTATTGTCTTTTCAGTTCCTAAGCAATACAAATTCTAGATTCTTTGTTCTATCTGTTTATTGAAGCAAAAATAGTTTAAAATTTAATTCTATATAAATAGCAAAGAAAAAAACAAACAAAAAACAAATGTAAACAAATAAATGATGTTTTTATCTTTCTTTTATTTCAAAGTTTTATCTTTTTTAATAAACTAAAGAACAGTAATAAGCTAACAAATACAAATAATGGATTAAAAATATAAAATAAAGCATTTGTAGAGAGAGTTAAATAAAAATTGTAATATTTTAAAATAATTCATTATTATGCTGTTATTTATCGTTAATAACAATACTTTCTATTTCTAAAGCCAATTCAATGCTTAATCATCAGATATTAATGATTATCAGAATAAGAAAACTAAAATTTTTTTTAATAGTTAATAAATATTTCTTCTATAAGTTTTTTATCAGCAGCTTCTTAATTTTCTGATTTGTGAATAATATTGTTTTCAAAAAATCATCATCATTCACAAGTCAAGAAAACTTTAGAAAAATCATTAGAATCAATTTTAAAATAGTAAATTACCTTTATGTTTAAAAAGTTTCCTTTGCCTTTGAAGTTTTGGTTTCCGAGATATCATTGGATTAAGGAATTTTATCTATTTGAAAAAAAGGTTTTAAAAAGTTAATATTAATAGTAAGTAGAATTTTAAAAAATATAAATAAATATATGTAAAACATTTAAAAAGTCAAAACAAACAAAATATAGAAATCTATCACAAAATAAATGCTCAAGCATTTGAAAAAAAAAAAAAAAACAGAAATTCTATCTCAGAATTAAATTTCTAATTCACTGGAAGTTATGATTTAAATAGCTTAATGATAATTCATAAACTAGTAGATAAATAACACAGCAAGTTTTTAAAAGTTTGCTATTTATGTTCAAAGTTATCATACAGAGTCCAGCAGGAAAATATGATTTTTTCAGAAGAATCTTACATAGTTATTTGTTTATGAAAAGAAAATTTTATTTTTCCTATATGAACAGAAATTTATACCATTTAACAATGTAAAAAAAGAAGAAACTCATTAGGTTCAAAAATAATGTCATCCATCTTTGTCAATACATTCCTGTAGCCTTGTGGAGAAGTTGACTATTGCTTGCTGAACCATGCTTGTATGAATGATAATTTAGGTCTAAATGTAAATTCCCTTCAAAACTGACCTCTTTGATGTCTACAGAACAAGAAAATGTCTTATTATTAAATGATGAGGGCTATTCTCCATATCTTGTGTTGCCAGTTCAATGTTTTTCATGAGTCAAACAGTTAGTTCAACTCCATAAACATTTCTTAGCAATACTAAACTCATTGTTCTCAGGATTTTGATCCACTTCAGAATAGTGTTCTGGCTCAGAACTCTGTCATGACATCAAACATTAAAATGAGTTTGAAACTTCTGCTGAGTGAATCACTGAATAACCACTTTTTAAAAATGTTTTAATATAAAAGCATGATGTTCCATGGCTTCATTATTACTGAAAAATGGCATCACTTAATGAATGAAACACAACTGTTTTCATAGTGATCAGCACTCCCAAGGCAGATATTATACCCAACCTAAAAATGTTGTACATCCCTGCCACACCCTTATACATAATAATTTTATTTCTAATGCATACAAAAATATTAAAATATTCAAAACCTTTAATTTTTATATTTTTAATATAATTAACATAAATACCTGACTTTGGTAAATAAAAAGAAAAGAATAGATTTTCTTAACTTGTTTTTACTAGATTTAATATTTCATTTTTGTTGAATTGAATATTCCACTCATTAAATATTCTCCATTTGAATTGTTTTGATATCTAGAATTTTAAAATCAATAATAAAGTAATCAAAATCACTTGCACCATCAAAAACTGGTTTAAAAACCACTTTGTTTTTATAATTACACCAATTTTATCAATTGGCATAATCAATTAAAATACAAAAGCCAAATTTCAGAAGACTGAGCTAAAACTAATATGACAACTACTAATCTGAAATCTCAAATAGGAATTTATATAAAGAAGATCAAAATGCATAAAATATAAAAATTACATGATATCACAAGCAATATATTACAGTGTCATAATTAAAATGCAGTACATATATAACCATAAATTTGGTATAAAATTGTTACTAATAATGGGACAATTAAAATTTCTAACAATTCCAATACAAATTCTACTAAAACGTCTCAATTTTGATACAATTTCAATTCTTTTTAAGCATAGTAAAATTTTGTCAGAAGTTTGGGCAGAACTGTAGTCTACTTCTAATTGTTATTATTGCTGAAAATAGATTAATAAAAAACATTTAATTTTTTTCCATATGTCAAAAAACGTTTAAAATTGCTAAAAAAAATATAAAAATGCCAAATCTAGCAACATTGGTTATTTTTTAGTTCTGATAGAAATATCAGTAACAAAGACTATCATAACAAAATATTTCTTACTACAGTTTCAGGTTTTCATGTCACATGCTACACAGAATGTATTTGTTTAATTTTGCATAACATCTTAAATGGCAATGCAAAATAACTTTATTCTTTACTTTTAGCAATAAAATGAAACTATAAAATATAATACCACTTGATTGTTACTGATCATAATCTAAACAATTTTAATTATTACCTGAAACAAAAAATTAATTTTGTTATTAAACATTAAAGAATAATTTTAAGAATCAGAAATCATGATAAAATTTCTCTCAATTCTGATTAATTGTCCCATCACTAGTTGTGACATTTGATAATTAAAGATTCTTCAAAAAGGTACTAGTCACTATTTCATCATTTTATCTACATTTTCAAGATTGTCCTAAACTGTGACTTCAAAGAAGTCATGTTGAAGTAATAGATTTACTATCACTTTAATTACTTTTTTGAATGTTTTCCTATGTATAACACCATTACTAATATAAAAGCCATTGAGTGTATTCCTTATAACTCCTGCAATTTTTGTCCAATGCAGATGAAATTTTGGTTATATTCATTTTATGTTCTGATGGAAAATATAGGCTACTTATTTTGCAAAAGTATTAACTATAAAATAAACGTTTCATTGATTTCAAAACAGTGATTACACTTAAGTTGCAGTGACATCAGGGAACATGTGACATTCATGCTTTACAAGAGAATTTCCCTCAAGTTGCATTTTTTAAATATTTTGGCAAATGATGCATTTTAAACATACTTCATTAAATTTAAAATCTAAACTTTAAAAATAAATAGCTGTATCGTGTTATTTCTATAACAAAGTTTTAAAAAATCCTTCCATAGTGACCATGTGAAATTCTATTATCCAATCAAAAGTAACGATCTAACAAACCTGTTATTTAGAAAGTGTTATCGCTCATCTAACTAACATACATACAATTTATTTTTGTTTTATCAAAATGGAATTAGGAAATGGCTTTATCAAGGGTTGCAGAAACAGCATCACAATGTCAATCATCAACATAATATTAAAATGTCTATCAAGGAAATCTTTTAAAAGACAATAAAGAGGTTGCGGCCATTGTATTCAGCCCAAAACGTAAACGGTCAACCATCAAGTGCCGTCATCTGGCAATTCTGGATGATCAATAATGGCGGTCGCTATGTCTAGCATGGCAAGTAGACAATCGGCTTAAACTTCTTCAGAGGTTTGTGTTTGGGGTTAAAATTATGATCTATTTTATTAAAATAATGATTATTTAAGCATTTACGAATAATATTGTAAAGAAACAGACGATTTTGATCCAGAAATTATTGAATTATTCAATATTTTGCAAGTGATGTAAAGTGCCTATAGAATTTACATATATTTGTCTTCATAATAGCTGATCTTAAGATAGGTTTGTTCTTCCACGGCATCTTCTATCAACAGCGCAATACATTTGTAAATTTCCTAAAAATTTATTTTCCGAGCTGCTTTTGAATTTACATAAGCCACTACTTCCCTCGACAAAAGTATGAGGTAGGCCTATCATCCAATCATACGATAGGAGACACCACGCTAATTAAAAATAATTATTTAGTGTTATTAAACATCCTATAAATACTTCAAAATAGTTTAATTTGTTTATTTACCTTCACTGGTAACATTCGTTGTCAAATGGTTCCACCATTTTTTCAACAAATTTCCCGTGAGTCAACGTGCGACGTTCACTGAGTCATGTGATATTGTGAACATCCACCATGACGATTTTCTTGGAGTTAAAACGTAAACCATGCACTTCTGCTTGCCGTGTAGAAGTAATGTTTGAACTTGCGCCGCAACCTCTCTAATAGCTTGTTTACTCAAAATGTAGTGTATACAGTAATTTTATAAAGAAAGATTTTAATATTATTTTAAAGGCCTAAATCTGTTTCTGTGTGTAAGTGAATTCTGTATAACTCCTACTTTTTGTCCACTTCAGGTGAAATTTTGTTTTGTTGCTCTTTATGTTACAACAGTTAGTATAAACTACTTAATTTGCAAAAATATTAGCAACTTTTCTTGAAATCTCTATTCTTCTCAATTCTTCAATCTCTACGTCGACCCCCGTATAAGATCATTGATTATTCCGTTTTATATGAATTCCATGTTGTACGAGTCACTTAAATTTTACAAATACGTGAGCCGTTCACAGCCCGGTACATGTATTTGTAAAATCTAAGTGACTCGTACAACATGGAATTCATATAAAACGGAATAATCAATGATCNTTGTTTAAACATTAAGAGAATATAAAATTTAAAGTTTATATAGTCTATATATATATACAGATGATCAAAAACTCGTTGTGTAACAGGAAAACAAACTTTTTTATTTATATTTTATAACTTTTTGTTGGGATTATTTTCATTAAATTTTCCCTTATTTTTCCCATAAATAAAAATACAGCTGGTTACTTCAACGGGGTGTCAGAAATCTATAAAATAAAAAAAACTTGATGATTATTGTGTTATAACTTTAAATGAATTTTAACTTTTAGAAAAATACATATTTCATATAAATTGTTTATTAAAATGAGCATCGTGGAAAAAATAATATAATTTATTGTATGTAATCATTAAAAACTAAAAACAGGAATGAGTAATTCGCAAACGTGCAAATTCTGCAAATGCAAATTGTAATTTTTGTTAATTTTAAATCTTTCAATTTAAAAAAAATAATACTGTACGTAACTTTTATGTAACTGTCACAAAATGTATAGGATCTATAATTAATCGAGGGTAATTAATCCTTTGAATAGTTATATTTTTTTAAAAAGAATAGTTTTTCAACTTACCTCTGCAAACAATAAGCCTTGTGGTTCAAGATATAGAGCCATGCCATGCCTAATGTCATCAATAAATTCTTCCAAACGTAAAAACTTAACTGCACACATTGAACGCCAGTCTTTCCAATAAATCTGTATTTCAAGTTCTCTTGACTGAAAATATCAATTTAAAAATCAATAAACCATTCTTGCTTTAAACATCAAATAATATGAAAATTGAAAGAATTAAACATTTAAGAATGAATAAAGCAAAAGATTGCATCAATTTATAAAACAGAAAAATAAAATTATTTCATAGTTTCATTATTAGTTTCATAGTTTCAAGACTACAAAAAACATTCTCAACAAAGTTTTATAAATTTTATCTAATAATGTACACAGTAGATAACTAGACAACAGATGATTATAAACAGCCATTAAATATCTTTTTATGGTTATATATATGTTTCGGCTGAATTAACAATTCAGCCACTTTACAAAATGTCTAGCTGTTTGATTAAACAGTGCCGGTTTATAATAAAGCTAACCTTCAGCTGGATTGTCATTACATTGCATTTTGCAATGCGACTGGCTATGTTTAGCTGTATTGTAAAGCAGCAGAAATCTCAGCCTCTTTACCATAATGTAAATTATGCACTAGAATTAGGGACAAAAATGGTAGGAAGTACAAATAAACATACATTACATAATCAAATGCATGTATTATAAACTTGAAAATTATAAAAAAAAAAGTACAGTATGTCAATTACTTCTGCTTTTAGGAAATAATATAATTATAATAACTAATCAACTTAACTATTTATTGGTCATTTAAAATCTTTAAAAATATTTATTGTTATTAAGTACTCTAAATGTTTGAGTACTTTATTATAATTAAGAATTACCTTTGTAAAATCACAACATAAATACAGATAGATAGTTTGACATACTAAACAGTGCAAAATTAAAGTATAAAAATGAGAAAACACTTTAAAACCATTAAATTTCTTCATCAGTTACAAAATAATAGTAAATGTATTATTTATTAATGCAAGATAAACTAGACTAACATTTAGATCTGCAAGGAATTTTCTTTATATAACACTAGCAGATAAGCCCAGCGTTACTTGGGCAAAAAGTAACGATAGCGAAGATTAAGATTATTACATTACAGCCAATCTTACCCATTTTCACAGAATGCAAGAATTAGGTTCCCCTGTTTCCAGACTAATTAGAAAATTTTTAGATGGATCTAAAATTATGTTTGATTTAATGCAAAAAACTGCATCTGCGCCTGTAAATCTTGCACATTGCTTTCTCTTAACACTTCCATTGTTGAAGCCTTAATCCTGTCCCTTTCCCCACAGGGGGGAATTTCAAAAAATCCCTTGTTAGTGTGCGTTCTCGTGACATACCCTAACTGTGTACCAAATTTCAAGTTTCAACTCCTAACCGTGCTGAAATGCTCATGATGAAATGCTCGTATACACGCGTGCCATCTATCGTAGGATAAATGTACTAAGCCAGAAACCTTCACAGGAGTATATTAAACAACTGCCCAAAGTTTCATGGCAATCGGATAAATGGTGTAGTAATGCATGAAGGACAGACAAACATACATTCATTTTTATATATATAGATGTGCATCTGTTAGTGTGACACTGATTTTTCATGAGTTTGCTTGAGCACTTTTGAAATCCTTGACCACAAAATAATGATTGGTTAGTCATAGTTGGTTAGAGTAGTTTATTGATCTTTCTGGTATTTCATCATTATAACCATTCAATGACTCTTGTAATTTGTAATGACAGAATCAATTTTTAATTATTCTGAATTTAGTCCCTACCTTATAAACTCTTGTTTCTAAAATCAACTATTTTCCCCATGATACATAGTATTTTTGGTATGTTAAGAAAAATAGTTTTATAATATCTAATAGGGAAAGTTTCTTAGCAATGTCATTAACCATCTTCTCTGCATCGCATTTAAGTCAGGTGATATATTTTCATTATTTTCTATGGTTATTGATGTTATAAAAGGTATTTTCACTAATCAAATTATTAGAACTGTGCAATCTGCATTGTGAAATATCATAATGAATGTTTTCTATGTCCTTTACAACTTTTTGATCATTGTTGGCAGGTTTTCTAGCTGCTCCTTGGTTTCAATTGATGAAAGATTATCATCAAAAATATCAGAACTTTTTAAACAGTTTTAGGCTCACTACCAAATTAGGCTGATAAAGTAATTTGGCAATGACTGGATGATACAGTGCATTTTTTTGATATTGCACAAAATAGTACCTAATTGATCAATTTGTCAAATTATTATCACACACCCAAGATCTAAGCATATTTTTGACATCTTGGCTACTGCATTCTATACTGCCTTTGTTTGTGGATGTTAAGGACTGCCATGTGTAATTTTATATTCTGGCCATATATTTGTAAATTCTTCGAAGATTTTTACTAATCATTGTCACTCTAAGATAAATGGAGTTCCAAGTTGAAAAAATTTTTAAGTCTAAAAAAATTTTTTAAGCAGTCTAAGATGTAAGTATTTAGTAGCATTTTTACCTTGATAGTTTAACAGTCATTTATAATTTCTGATTGTAAATCAATTAAATCAACTCCACTTCCATAAAATCTTTAGAAACTATTGGTTGGGTTACAATACTTTTCTTAGCTATATTATATTTGGACATAAAGCAACAAATATTTCAACTGCTTCTTTTGTATTTAAAATCTATTTTTTAACATCATATAACATTTTGTCATGACTACTATGTCCACAGGACTTATGAATCTCCATCAATATATCACTGTTCATTAGGTATGATACGTACTATAGGATTCTCAAATAACTTTTTCTTAAAAACAAGATGAGCTTCATTGGCTGTATTCACGACATCATACTTTGAACACTAATAATATTTGATAGATGTCCGCTGTGCACCAGAATCTATGGCCATCTTACCATTTTTCATGTCTAATAACCTCAAAAATTCTTTCTCTAACCCTTCAATTTTTCATGCTGTTTTGTGTAGAACTCCATTAGATATTTGTTGAAATTATCTTTAAACCTGCTATATTCAGACACATTTTTCAGTCTTTCATTATTTGTTGTTATATCCAATATTTCTGGCGAAACAGATATACTAGACAATGCAATATTGATGAATGCCTTTGCTTCTCAAGTGGTAAGAATTGGAATTAAATATGAGAATCTGACAGTTTATCTAATGCTGCATTGTCAAGCAGCTAATTGTTTGGCTAGTCGTACTGTAGAATGTAACTTGTCATTCAATCTGGTGAGACTTGGTTTGATTTTGTAAAGTGGCTTTGTTATAAAACAGCACTGTTTAATCAAATGCATAGACACTTTGTAAACGAGCTAAAATTAACAATCTGGCTGCAATTTCTCATAAATCTCATTTTACTTGAATAAAATTAATGCAGAAAATTGCAAACAGTTTACCATAATCATCTGAAAACCTCCAGCTAGATAGTACATAAACAGCTACTCTAATCCTGAAACATCATTATGTGATAGAATTTTGCTGACTCATTAACAGGTCTTTTTTTTTTTAAATTATTTGATATAATAGACTCTTAACATAGTTAAAAATGATAGACATTAAGTATTTGGTATAGCTCTGCTATCTTCATAATTTTTGACTGCAAAAGCAAAGATCTCTAAAGTCCATAATGTTTATTAAGATTAAATATTATCACACAGTTGTTAAAAAAAAATAATACTAACATAACATCTTAATGGAGGGTAATCATTTGCTTAAAAACAACTTTACTAGATCATTTACAACTCTAAGATATACTTACAGCCAAGCTATAATTTTGTCTGAAATCAAAATCCGATATCTTTTACGATGAAGATTAATATCATATATGTAACTGCAATTAACATCAACACATACAGTTATCTGCTGAAAACACTATCATCCAGAAGAAATAGGTTTATTATATATACATTTAATAATTTAAATTAATTTTAGTAATAATTCGCTTCTTTGTTAATCTAAAGATATCTGTGATTGCAAGCTACTAAAAAGATTTCCTTTTTTTTTTCTTTTCTCTTCCTATGCTACAACTTAACATTTCTATCATAATTTTTTTATTCATATCAATACTAAGATACTTATATCACTAATACAGTTGAATCTTGATAAGTCAAACTTTGTTAACATGAAACTCTTAATAAACTGAATTTTATTTTCATCCAATTTAAACTCACCTGAAATACAAAGCATTTTGTTTTCCAAGTCAAACAGTTTTGAAGAATGTTTTGATTACTCAAAATCTAGGATTCCAATGAATTTACTTCATGTTTAATATTGTATGCTTTCTGTTGTATTTTCAACAGATCACTTTAAAACCATGTGAGGGGCTAGCTGGGGATATGGAGTAGGTAAGACTCTAGTATCACTTAATCGGCGGCTATTTGCTGGAATAGCCATCGGGTTGTCCAAAAGAATGACTTTTCTATTTAAAGAAATCGAGTGTTTAGTATTTAGTGTTTATATTTAGTGTTTAGTATTATATCGAGTGTCGAGTATTTTAAAAAAATTGAGGCTTTAATTAATATGTTAAAAAGAAAGATCTGGACAGTAAGGTCTAGATCATATCATGATCCTTGACACCAGTTAATCGAATTTATCCTACACGGATTAACACGAGTAATGGAAAGTTATGGAGATGATATAATATTTAGATTCAGACATTATGAGAAACCTTTCTTTAATATAAAAATGAGTATTTAATAACAAAGAAAAATTTATACAACATGGAATTATAAATATATCTATTTAGGCTATCGCAGAGAGAGAGAGATCACAATTTCAATCAAAATTATACTACCTCAAAATATATTTATCTTCTTCTGTATTTCAGATTAATACGAATGTTCTTATCTTGGTTAGTTCTTTAAAGACACATCAATAAATATATTCTTCTCTATATTTAACAAATAATAACTCATTTAGTAGAAACTTTGGGATTCGGTTATGGGCGTTGACCATATGGAGCTTACATGGAATACGTCTGTCCTTCTTGGAATCTTCTGGCGTATTCCGAGTGATACTCAAGAATCCCCTTTTTTGATGATTTTCTCCAATCAGAGAATTGTATTATTCCCACGTGTTTAGGAAAAGTGGGGGTTCACAGAGGGGTAACTAGACTGTATGTGACTCAAAATTTATGAAGATAAGGGAAAACAAAAAGGATGTCAAACTTCCGTTGAGAAGGAAGCGACTTTTACCAGTTTCCTTCATTTTTAACTTAAAATTCTTTCATTTAAATCAGAAATATTACTTTCAAAAATTTATGTTTTTGACATCAAATTTCAATTAATTAGGGGGGATTTGTCCAGAATCTCACAACCATATTAAGACAAAATGATATAGAATCAAACATTTAACTATGTACGTTGGAAGAAATATAGAAGTTACTTGACATGTTAGCACAAAAACACAAAAAATACAAAGATATTTCCAATGTAAAGTAACAACTTTATTCTTAATTAGAGAATCAAATTTTATAAGTAATATTCTCTTTTTTCAAATATTCAAAAAGGTTTTCTAGAAGCTACATCAAACATAAAACAAGATGTTTTTGAGACAATCAAAACTTTCTTAGACATTGTCCAGCAGAAAGCATGGATTATTGATGTCAAACTCATGAAACAAACTTATTTCATTAATAGTAAAAATAGGAAACATATTATTTAAGTCTGTCTATATTGTTTGTATTAAAAATCTTATTATATTAATGGCAATTTCTGTAATTTGAAATTCTTTATCCCTCCCATTTTGAGTTATCAAGAGTCAACTATATTTACATTTGTCAGTTTACAAAAGCAATTCTCAAAACAACTAAATTTTATTACATTTATAAAATATCTTACCCGATCAAGATCAATACTAAAACGCTGATCCCATGCTTGTTGGCTGCATTGTTTCCAAGTTGTTTGTCCAACTGTCACATTATCTAATTTTAAACAAGCCATAATTTCATCTGTAAAAAAAAATTTATAATTACCTTTAAACTATTTTTTAAAATTTTTATTTATATGTAGATANGACGGAAAAGTGACGAATCAAAAGTATCGTGAGTGCATATTATGATGTATGCATAGGCATACGTGGACTAGAGATATATTAATTTAAAATTTTATTCATTTTTAAAATAAATTTAATTACTTGAAGTTTCTTCTTTAATGCTGTAAGATTTTGAGGAACCTCGTCCTGTTAAACCTTTACTGGCTCTCATCAGATTTCGAAGATCAGCTGGACTGTAAGGTCCATGATCTTTACGTGGTAAACGACCTGGCACATCTTCTAGTAAATCTTGACAGCCCATTAACCTAAATTATTATTTCTTATTTTATATATTGTAATAATTGATAAATATATTGCAGATTAAACACAGAGTTTCTAACATGTTAATTTTTGTTCTTCTCAAGTTTTTTATCAAGTTTCTCAATGATTAAGTAAATTTTTCTCTCTAATTTTCACTAACAATTCACTTTTAATCTAAAAGACAAATATCTCCAAAAGCAAAAGCATATTTGATTGAAAAAGTACTATAAAATGTCAACAACAACTCAAATTACAACAAAATTGGTATAAACTTAAAATGTCATAAAATCCAGTAATAACTTACTTAAAGTTAAAATTAATAGAAAAATTTGAACATACGTGTAGTGATATCGGACCTTCTCGTCCTCCCTCTCCAGGGATTTTCATCGGGGCAGATGCGATCTATCCATCGACACACGCTAACGAGGGGCCGTTAAGACCGGGGAAGAAAACGCGGGAAGAAGGAATTTTTCAGAGAGAGGAATTCAGGACACGAGAGAGTGTGAAGTAATGGTCCCTGAGAGCAGAATAAAGTTTTTTTTTGTGGAAATATTGGACTAGTTGATTAATTAGTGAGACGAACCGATGGGATGGAATCCGCTGATTAAGAACGGGTTCCCTACAATACTAATATATCAGTAATTTTTATCATATTTATTACTAGCTGATGAGCATGGCGTTGCCCAGGAAAAAAGTAACAATAGCAAAAATTAAGTTTATTACATTATAGCCAATCTTACTTGTTTTCTCAGAATGCAAGAATTAGGTTGCCCTATTTCCAGACTAATTAGAAAATTTTTAGATGGATCTAAAATTATTTTCAATTTCTTGCAAAAATGAAAAAAACCGCATCTGCATCTGTAAATCTTGCACGTCGCTTTCTCTTAACACTTCAATTGTTACTTAACCAATTTCATTGTTAACACCCTCTCTTTGCAGGGGGAATTTCGAAAAATCCCTTCTTACTGTATGTTCTCATGACGCACCCTAACTGTGTACCAAATTTCAACCTTTAACTCCTAACCGTTTTGGATCTGCGCTTCTTATTATTCAAAGTGGCTATTTCAAAGGGCAATTTTGGCAACTAAAAATAATATTGTTGACGATATCAACTTTAATATTCAAAAGAAGATTCCCGGTAATAATCAAAAGAAAATTCAGAACTGGCAAGAGCTCCTCCTCTTTTAAGTTCGGGCATTGTATAAAATATAAATCAAATCAACTTTTTACTAACAAATACACTAAGTACACTTTACACAGTTTTCACATTTTATTTTCGATTTATATTCAGTCATGTATCACTTTGACTACTCACACTTCACTGTTTGTTTTTATTCACTCACTGCACTACCTTGGAATTTTCACTTCTTTTACAGTTCTTCCCTTCATCACTGATAAGAAACTGACATTCAAACCTATGACAGATCTTGCTTTATATACCCCTTCCAATGGGTAGTGCCACCCATACAAAAAAGGCTTTGAATGGTCCACAATGTTCCAGAACATCCTGGAACATTCTGGAATGCTCTCAAATCTTTTGGACTGCTCTTGAAATTTCTAGAGGGCAAAACTTCCAGCCCTTATATCTCCCACAGGATGCCCTTCAAGTAAAAACAGGAACCTTCTTCATGTATGGGGAATAGAGGACTACCACACCATATAACTTCCTTGATTGTACTGGGACTCGTTTTTGAGTTTTAGTGGTACGCACAGTGTACACTTACCTTTATTATATATATTGATTAGCATTCATATTTATTATTTTAATTTTTGAAACATGAGAAAAACAATTATATTAATACAGTAATACCCCGACTTACGCGATTTTCAAATCTCGTCGATTCGTCTTTTGTTTGAGCAGCACGCAACCCTTGATTACTCACTCCCCCCACACTATTGTTCAGCTTACATGTTCGGATGTGTCGCATGCAAGCCACACATAGCTACAATTTATTTTGTGTTATTTATTTCTGTGTTTGTTATATCTACGGAGCCTCGAGAGACTCTACTATGTCATCTGAACAAAGTAGAACTAATTCTTCTGCATCAAACAAGAAAAGAAAAACTTTATCTTTGGAATGTAAAGTTAACATTGGGTATGTTCGTAAAGTAGAACGAGTTAAGCGAGAATGAAGTCATCGTTATTCCTATTTCGTTAGACTTTTCGAATGATTCGTTACTAATGTGTTTAACTCGTTTGACTTTACGAACGTACCCATTATTAAAGACTTCGATACAAAAATGAAAATTTGTGAATTGGCAAAGAAGTCTGATCTACCGGAATTGTCGGTCAGAACAATTATAAAAGGCAAAGAAAAAATTCTCGAAGCTATGAAAAATGCTCAATCTTTAAATTCAAGCATCATTCGTAAACGTCACAGTATTATCGCTGAGATGGAAACAATGTTAAAATTATGGCGTAATAATCAAGTAAATGTGAAAAATTGTAAAATAATATAGGCCTAATTTGTTATACATATGTATTATCTAAGATTTTATTAAACATTTTTTTCTAAATTATTGTTTTCTTTAGTCTCTGGCCCCAATTAAAAATTATTTGTATGTATTTATATGCGAAATTATACCCTGATTTACACGAATTAGACTTACGCGGTTACCGCTCGGTCCCACCTATCGTGTAAGTTTGGGGTATTACTGTACATAACTATCTAATGTATTTACTTTATGGAAAAAATAAATATTGAAATTTATTTTTCATTCATAGTGGCAGTGCATTTGTAGTAAGATATAATGATTTATTAGAATTTAAATATACCTGACTTCAAGTTTTCCTGTAACAGCAGCAGGTTTAGAAAGAGAAGTACCATATGAAGGCAAAGGTGTTTCTTTAGCACCATAGGGATGAATAGTGGGCGGATATAAAACTGGACTAGCAGCCTGGCTGCTTTCTAATTCATGTTTCAAAACATCTGCTTTGGAAGATCCTGGAGGTAATTCTTGACGACAAATTTCCAGTGATTTTCGAATTAAATCCAATTTTTGGCTTGATTCAGACAAATTTATTTGAGCCTAAAGATTTTATATATTAATAAAAAGCGTAAATTGGAATTATAACATTATTAACATTGAAATTATAATTATATTAAAATTTAAGAAAAATGTTTATTCTGAACTAAATACAAAAATTTACATGCAATTAAATGTAATTATAATTTTATTCTGTACTATACAAATAATTGTGAAAGTATTAAATATGTAAAATTAAATGTAACTATAAAAATTTTTTAAATAAATAAATTTACAAGTTAAAAAAATTAATGAAATTTCTATAATTCTTCTTTTTACAATTAGTTACAAATTGAATTTTAGTTTTCTTCTTTATTAATTATAAAAATAAAATTGAAAAAGAAAACTGTCCAATTGACTGATTACAACTATAAAAAACTACAAAGCTTAGGATGATACTACATCAAAATTAATCAATAGAAAGAAAGCAGAAACTTCTGTCTTCTTACATGAANTCTAAATCAATAAACAGATAATTTATTTTATTTAAATTTTATGCTTTTTGACATGTGGGCATTAAGAAGACATACAGTATATTACAACAGATCTAGTATTTCCAGATCATTTCTATCCCAAATACTAACTGGATTTACATATAGTTTATTGATCAGTTTGCAATTTTTTGTTGTTCAATTAGATATCTATCCAAATGCATATACATGATATAATATCAAAATTATTAATGATGTAACATTTTCTACTTTAATAAAATTAATATCCTTAATATTAAGAAATGTTTGAAAACCATTATATTAAAGATATATTTATATAAATACATATCTGTAATATATTTAGCTAAAATAGTTATCATAAATCCTCAGCCATGTAAACAGACTCACTTAATTGCCCATGGGCAATTAAATGAAACATTTTTCTTTTAGTACCATAGTACTATAAAGACTAGTTTCTGCTATATAATTTCATGTAGTAAAATGGATTTGTATAGATCATTGAGACCATTGCCTAGTAATGACACATTTATGGATATCAAAATCATTCTTATGGATAGATGTCATCAAACAATAGCCAACAGGATACATTTTCCATTCAAAAGTTATAGTGACTTATGATGAAAATCTTATTGAGTTAATGCAAAAAAAAAAAAATCATTTTTATATGATCAGTCTTGGAGTGAATATAAAAATAAAATTGAAAAAGAAAACTGTCCAATTGACTGATTACAACTATAAAAAACTACAAAGCTTAGGATGATACTACATCAAAATTAATCAATAGAAAGAAAGCAGAAACTTCTGTCTTCTTACATGAAATCCTTTAATTATAAAAATCATCTCAAACAAGATAAAATAACAAATGTTGTGTAGCTTATCAAAAGTACTATTTTTGATAAATTAATCTTGTTGTTTTCAGAGAACTGAACAAATTGGAAATTCAAAAATGGCATTTCAAACAATCTTACATAAAAGGAAACTTACTAGCTTCAATTTTGAGACCCTTTATATGAGATTTAGAGAATATTTATAGGATTATAAGGAAATTATCTTCAGTGATGAAAATTTTAAGACACGACAAAGACTAAATTAAAGGTCCAGATAAAGCAGGAACACATATATTAAAGATAGTAAAACACTCGGGATAATTTTTATTACATTTACGCCACTTATAACTACTTGTCTAAAAAGTTCAGAGAATATTACATTTTGATTATAAATAGGATCCAGTTAATACCCACTTCAATGCCATTTCTGGAGCAATTATATATTCTCTAAACACATTAATGTAATTAACAATCAGAATGCACAAGTTTTGCATATAGATTAGATTTGGTTGCTGGTTAACAGATTTCTCCCCATGCTGTGCAAAAATTACTAGCCAAATTTACTTAAAGTTAAAAATTAATATATTCCATAGTTTTATCATATATTATTTAAAACTTGAGTTTTAGTTTTTATAATTTAAATTTCTGAACATAATACATTCTAACCTTCAAAAGCTAAAATATCAATGTGAACAGTTTAGTTTTGTATTCCATTTTTTAAACTGATGTAAATTTGACTTGCAGAGCTAATGCTGGATTAAATTAACAGAAATCTTTCCTTCCAAAAGAATAACTATTTTGTTTGCCTTAGCTTATCACTTTGTATTTAAACATTTGCTGTTAAATATTTACTATTTACATTTATTTATAAAAAATACATTGTTATATTAATCCATGCTTAATATTTCCTGTACTCCACATTCATATACCATATGTTTTATGTATATAAGCTAAAAATAATCTAATCATAACAGAATATATTAAATAAAAACAAATCTATATAATTACAAAGAACACGTTTATTCAATCTTAGTAACTCATTTGAATTTTAATTGATGATCAATCTCAACTAATTAAAATTGATCATTAATAAACATTTTAAAATATTATGAATATATAAAAACATACATAATTATAATAATTAAATTTTACACTTTTATATTATTTTTTTCTTAATAATAATATAGTTCTAACCTCTTGTAAAGCTTTTCTGTCTGTAACTTTTGTACTTTGAAGAAGTCTAATTACATTTTTTGCTCCCTCTACCACAGCACATTCTACCTTTAAGCGATGTCTCAATTCTTCTATCCTAAGTTCTAACGGAGACATAACTTCTGGAAGTTTACCTATATAGCATTTACAAAATAAATATATTTTAAATTAATGCTAGAAAAAATATTATAATTAATCACAATTTATTTCATAACTGACAGAGTTTTAATGTTCTTCAAGACTAAGTTAAAGATTGCTAATCTACAAAATTTAAAAAAATCTAAAATTATTAATTCTAAAATTCATAACTACTTTAATGCAGTATAATTTGATAAGCAATAAATACATGTTTAAGTTTCTTTAAATAAAATTTAGAACATGCTATAATAAGTCTGAGTATCTGTACTCAGACATATTATAGCATCAAAAGTTCTAAACTAATTCTAGCTAAAATTTTTTATAATACATATACATACATACATTTTTAATCTATATTAATATTGAAAATAGACAAAAATATTACAAAACTTTTATTTTAAATAATACCCCATTAAAGCAACTGTGAATTTTTAAATTTAAAAATGGAATAGCTAGTTTCAAAAGTACTACTAATTTTATTATATTTTTATAAATATTTACAACAAGCAAATAATAGAATAAAGTACAGTGGAACCTCATTTAATGAGCACCTCATACAATGAGTATTTCACATAATGAGCAAACCAAATTGTAAAAAATGTCTTACTTAATGAGCGATGTTTCGCATAATGAGTGACAATGAGAGGGGAAGTCCCGGATTGTGCACTTGCTCCATTAGTCTGTGTTTAGCACTCGTTCCGCTAGCATCTTAGTGTCGCTTGTAATCAAACATTTTTCCAAACTTGTTTTCACACATATTACATATGAACATCGACAATCATAGCACATATTAAATTTAATGACCAATTCCAAATTAAATTTTAAAAATGTCTAAATTACAAATTAATTATTTATAATTATTAAATTTAATATGAAATGGAAGCATAACTGCCTACCTCTAGTCAAATTAATTAATTTCTAATATTTAATTATAGCCTTTACATAGCACAAGAATTTGGCATATCATTTGGTGTGTTTATCAGACATATTATCTGTGATTGTTTTTGTTTTCTGCAAATCAAATTCGCATTCTAGGTTGGTTCATTCCATGCTAAAAGAAATGATGAAGATGATTCAAGCTCCTTAACAATGTATATTGTATAATTTTCTTTGAATAAACGTTATACATAAATATTTGAGTATTTTTTCCTGCATGGAACACATTATCATATTTTACATTAATTTCTATGGGAAAAATTGTTTCGCATTACAAGTAAGATTCTGGAATGAATTATGCTCAATTAAGCAAGGTTCCACTGTATATTTTTTATTTCAAATAAATTTTTCCAGCATGCTGTTTATGAGATATATATCATAAAATCACAAATACATTATAAATAAAACAAAAAATGATTAGAAGTAAAATAACATTACGATTTCTTTTTTCAAAGTAAATATTGTTTTAATCATATAAAATATTTCTAAAAAGAGAGATTAAATTATTTTCACAACTTAACAAAAAGGAAACTTACTTTCACAACCACCTGTATTTCCTTCATTACCATCATCTTTTGTATGTTTAACTTTCATGATCATCAGACGAATATACTCAATTTTGGTTTTAGAATCTGCTAACATTTGTTGTGCTTCAGCCAAAAGTTTTCTATCTTTAGAATGACCACTACTATACATATTAATCATATTTTCTGCACCCTGCTTAACCTACAAGATAATTACATTTTAGAAAATCAATAATATATGATTTTTATTAATATACTTTAACTATTACCATATTAATATTAGTTGTCAATTTTATAAATTAATTGTACAAGATATTCTTATATACAGAAAGATAATTAGATTTTTACACAAGAAAAAATTCATTTAATAAATATATTACTTTGTATTTCAGAAAATATACTTTACTATTTAGATTAAAACCGTTTGTATTATTTTGTGTTTGAGTAATTTTAATTATACATAAATATTTACTATATAATTAATCTCAATATGTAATCTGTTGGAACACTGTTATTTTCTAGGAATTATCACATCCACAGACTCCAAAAATACTAGCCAATCAACTTTATTTCACCTAGATGCATTTTGGAAATTAAAATATTTCCCTCCTCAGTGGGTTTTCTTTCATACAAGCTAAACAAGGTACAAACACTTTTTTTGATACTCTAGTAAATATACAATAACAACATTAAATTAACAATTTACAATAATACATTTATTAAAACTGTGTGATAATTCCTAGAAAATAACAGTGTTTAAACTGATTACATATTGAAATTTTTAAAAAATGGAATAGAGGCAGAAGAGATAAATCATATATAATTAATGTTCTTACTAGTGTTGCAACAAATAGTATATTCAGCCTCAAGCCGAATAGCCGAATATTCGGCTCGATTAACGCACGTACGAAAATTGCCGCGCAAACCGCATTATGGCAAGGACCCTGCTCTCTATTGGCCACTGCCACTATGCTTTGCCAATCGCATTAATTCTTGACAGTTATAGCAAACAGACATGAGCATCATGGCAGTACATATAGGTAATTTCATTGTTATCAAATGTGGATAACAATGAAATTACCTACACATGTAAATAATGGAAAAAGAATAGAGAAGGTCCCCAAAGTAAAAATGTGAAAATAAATATGAAATTGAGTAGATAACATAATCAAACAAGTTGAAGCAGCTTATTGGTGTGAAATTCGCAGCCATCAATGCCAAACAATTGTTGTCATAGACTTCAGAAAGCTAAATGCTTGTAATGAAAGTCACTTAGCATGCATGGGCGAAAGCCTGGGACCATTCGGGCTACCAAGCTGTCTCGAATCTATGAAATCATAACTGTGACATATACCGACGTCCTATCTCTTTTCTCCGTTATCACTAGGCTGAGTCACATAATTATAAAATGGAAAAACTATGACGTAAAAGTGACGAATCGAAAGTATCCTGAGCACATATTATGATGTATGCATAGGCATACGTGGACTAGAGAGATAGAGGAAAGAGAAAGGGAAGAACAAAGACGAGCGCTTAAGAAGAAGGATAGGCAGGGTCAGACCCTCAGATATGTGCGACGATTCTTGAACGAATGGGTGTGTACATGTGCTGATCTTTGTAATTATAAATTGTGAATACTTGTGACTAATATTATTATTGTTTTTATTTTGTGCATGTTATAAGTTATAAATGAATATAAACAAACAACACTAACCCTATAACATTAAATCTAAATACCAAAATGATTAATTTACTGTGTTTTTGTTATTTCTTACTCCTGTTTCTAGGTATTCGGCCGAATAGTGATTAAATATTCGATATTCGGCCGAATAGCGAAAAATAGACCGAATACCGAATAGTAACCGAATATTTGTTACATCACTAGTTCTTAATAGTTAACAAATTGTTTTTTGATTTTTTTCCCTTGTATTGTAATGACAACAAAAGTCCTCTACAGTATGTTAGCACTAAAAGTATTTGTTCTGCTAAACACATGTTAAAATTTTTCTTTGGAAAATATAAGTAATATTACAGTTTGCATGTAAAAATATTATAGATTACATTAACACATGTTTAGTCTGGAATCTAATTATATATATATTTATTTATTTATTTTTAAGCAAGTTTCTATAGCTAGACTTAAGAATATATGCAAAATAATAAATAATATTAGAATTAATATATATCTCTACTTTGGAAGAAAACCAGCAGCATAACTCAAAAAAAGTGCAATTTTTCAATTATGTCATAATCAAAATGAAAATATAGTAAATTTTTATGTGGAATAGTGTCACAAAAGTAACTTGCATATTCAGCCACTAGGGAGCAGTTATGAGAGAGATAAGTGATATTCAGTTAAACTTTGGTTAAATCTTTGCATGGGATTTTCTCAAAACTAGTCATTTTGAGTTGTGCCGGTTTTCTTCCAAAGTAGCAATATGGTATATTGTAAGTATTATTTCTTTATTCAATAAATAAGTTTATTAGTATTGACAGTAAGTAAATTATATAGTAATTAGATGAATAAGATAGTAATTAATATGATAATTATATTAATTCTCAAACTTAATTGTAATATTTTGTTTTTATTTATAATATCTTGAATATATTATAATAGCATTTAAATTTATAAAAACAGAAATGTGATAATGTATTACAAGATTTTTCCAATTGAACAGCTACAGCAACTTTTTTTTTAAACAAAAGAATAAATGTCAATACTTATATTTATTAATAATATTTGTTCCAAATATTTTTAAGTCATAGTATTTGTGCTATTTCAGCACTTTTCATTCATTAATAATCATCAGATAATGAATCTTTCTTCAGATTATAATTTTCATTTCCTTTAAATCAGCTTTAGTCATAATCAATTTAATAATTAAACTCTAATTATAATCATTACTTTGAACCATAAAAAAAAAGCACAAGGACAAATTTTACTTAATAATATGAATAAATAAAGTAATCTAATTGTAAATTTTCTATGAAATTTACAATAAAATATTTTATAAATGAAAAATTAAGGAAGGTATTGGGATATAAAACATTTGCAGCAAATAGTAATATCCAATATTTAGAGGAGTAAACTTTTCTAAACATTAGATATTACTAATTTACAGACAATATAATTCAAATAACTTTTATTAATGGTATAATATTTCAATTTTCCTATATCTAGTATACTATTGTAAAATTAATGTTAAAAAGTTTTTCAATAATTACATGATTTAATACTAAAGCTGAAAAAACATCCAAATATATTTTAAAATAATTCATAAATTATTGATTTTTAAACTATATGATTATAGAGACATTAATGAAGTTATTAATAATTCCTTCGTAAAATACAGGATTTCTGTTCAAATTTTTCTTTTAAATTCCATGACTTTCCCTGACTTCCCTTGACCAACTTTGTACAAATTCTCTGATCCTCACATCCCTTACAGTGTGGCACACTGACAAAATAAAACATCATTTAACTTACTGCACACATATGCACACATATTGTGCTTCTTCAACTTTTTAATTAGTTATTTTTTCTAATTAACAGTTATATATTCTTTTTTATAATTACCAAATTATTAAGATAAAAAATGAATTGTTTTATTAAATTAAAATAGTTTATTCTGTTATTAATCCACAACCATAAAGCTAAGTGGCTTTGAAAAAAAGACAATATTTATTTATTATTCATTAACAAATCACGTATAATACATGTACAAAGGTATATATTTGTTAAATTTACCCCTTAATAAATTTCCTGAACTTTATAAAATATTAATAAATAGGAAAATAAATCAAAAATTGCTTTGTTATGCAATTGAAATTATTAAAATGAAAAACTGACAGAAAAGGCAGCGAAGGAGGCTAATTCCCTGATTTTCCATGACTTTTTCCAAACACTAATGAAATTCCCTGATTTTTCCAGGTGAGTAGGAACCCTGAAAATAACTAAACTTTTAAATTTATTGTTATGCATTTATATATGGTTTATATATGATACAAGAAGTTCACAATACAGACAAAAACTTAAAACACATTAAAAATTGATAACTAATTAATTTTTCAATAATATAATAAACATAAAAAATGGAAACATAATTTAAAAAAATGAACTGAATTCAATGTTTCATATTAGCATATTTAATGTAATAAATATTTAAATGTGTTTCAATTATTTATACTGTATAGAAATTATAGCTGAATGAAGTAATAGAACTTTATTATAATTTATATTAAAACTCCAATTAAAAATACCTTAAGCTCAATATTAAGTTGCTTTTCCAGCAACTGTAATCTCTGACCAGCAGCTGATAAAGGAGCTTCCACTTTATCACCTTCATCCTTTTCTGGTGATAAAACATTTCCATCTAAACATATAATAATAAATGTTTTTAAATGAATTAATACAAATATATTTAATAAAATATATTTTTAAAAATTCAAATTTATTTAAAAAAAGCATATATTTGCAAAGGTACATATTTCAAATTATACAAATATAAATATATGTATTTCAAATTATATCATTGAATTTCAATTATAAATATTTAATTATTAAAATCTGATGACATAATACATCAAATGTTTTTAGACCATCAGTGCTGGTGTATTTTTTACTGAAATAAATTATAGGTAGAAACAGTAATTTTTAATTATTCAAATGTTTCTTAATTTTTCTACATCAAACAGTTAATTTCTACATTTATGTTGTATGTTGAGCACTACATCCATAAGAAAATCTGCATTATCTTCTTTTTTAAAAAAATGCAGAAATCTTCATAATTTTGCATGTAATCCTTACACAAGTGCCAACCAAACTAACCTTCTCTGTATCATTCCAATTTTAGAATATGTATAACTGAAGTTGTACATATTCTATAATTACCAAATTATAGAATACAGTTGTCCTTACTATCAATAATGAATCAATTGTATTTATAATGGTCAAAACGCTTCAAATTTTATAATTTTAAAATTTGAGTTTAGCATAAGTTTCAGTGAAATTTTGAGGATATATATTCTATAGAACTTGCAGATCTAATTTTGTAAAAAATTAAGAGTCAATTTCAGTTGTCATGAAAAATAGCAACACTATGAATGTAAACTCTTTAATATAAAGCATTTTTCATGACTTATCAATGGGATTCAAACATCTTCAGCTACCAACTGTCCTTATGTATCTAGAAATACAGCAAAAGCTTTAATATGACAGACATCTTATGTAGATGGTTTCCAAGAGTTATATTACAAATATTGATTAATATTATTCTTTTCTATGTATCAATGTTATTGTTTCAGGAAAATAGTAATGAATCTGTTATAATTTACATATAGCATCTGCTATACATAATATTTATTTAAACTAATATAAATTATGTAGTTAGTCTCATTCAGTGTGTACGTTAGACACATTTTAGTTTTACTTCTTTAAATTCAAGTTACCAATAATGTACTACTTTAGATATAAAAATTATTTTATTGTAAAATAAACGCACCATTTGCAAAGAATTAGAGAATAATATTCAGTCTTATGCCTAATTAATTAATTAATTAATTAAATCACTTATAAACCTGGTTTTATATAAATTATTTTGCTAACTGTATTATAAAATGTTTCATTGTAACAGGAAAATGTTGACAGGCTTATTTAATAGTTACATCAATTTTAGTATTTAAAGTGTTAAGACGTTCTTTCAAATGTTGCTTTCTAATTTACAATTGCTGCAGACTATTCTACATTTCCATGATAACTAACTAAAAATACTTTATATCATAAATTAGGAAGACAAGTTTAAACTAGAAAATAATATAGTCTCATATAATAACCATTTTTTCCAATAAACTTATAAATAAATAACTGCAATGGGTCATTTTAATAGAGAAGTTTTATTTAGCAGTATAAAATTTTTAGTAAAAAAAAAAAAACCATATTATCTGTCTATCTTATAAGACTAAAACATCTTTTATACAGTAAAATAATATTGTTTGTATCTAAAAATGTCTATGCAAAAAATGACGACATTTTTCCTGATAGTCAAAACAAGAATTTTATTTTTATACAGAATTGGGTTTTGCATACATCTTTTAGAGAACATAGCCTCCAAATTTCAATAAAACTTATTCATTAGGTTAATTGCAAACAAATATTAAATATGCAAAATTTAATCATCACTACCATTACATCAAAAATAAAGTACAAAAAATAAAAATTAATATCACATTAAAAATTATATAAACTCTCAAATAACATCATAATAGTTCAAAACATATTTTAAAAATTAGCATTAATTAAGTTCATCAAACATATCATCTTGTAATAATCCAAAACAATATTGCCTAATTAAGATTACTGAATCCTAGTAAACTTAATTTAGAAGTATTGTATTGCATTATTAATTATAACTAAATTGCTTTAATTATATTTTCAAAATTATTTTATTAAAATACTGTGAATTACATTCATAATTAAAAAATTTAGAAGAAAATTTTAATATTTTACGTGCATTTTCTTGTTATCTTATTGGTAACTAAGGGCTGCTAGAGAATGAAGACACATTTTTGACTAAAGATTTATTAAAAATTAAGCTATTTGTTTCATTTCGTTATTCAATAAAATTAACACAAACTTTTCAGATAAGCCAACACAAACACAAAAATTTGTTGTGAAAACTTAATAATTGAAAATAATTTTTATTCATTAAATATTATAAAAAGTTTTAATTTGAATAAATATCTCAAAAAAAATCTTATAGCATATTAATTCAGAAATCTGTTTTAAAAAATACCAATCTATAAAACTCAAAAATTTTCAAAAACAAATTGACTTGAAGAATGTATAGAACAAAGAAAGTACTACAACTAAAAATTCTTGAAAGCAGTTTCCTTTAGTAAATAAGCATACTGTTTCATTAAAATTGGCCAACTGTAATTTACATAATAAATTATTTTTAATGAACTATGTATTTTTAATTCATGGTATTTGTCACCAGAGGATTTTTTAAAATGAATTTACATTTTTTACAGAGGTCATAGCCTCAAATAAAAAGTCATCTCTGTAAATAAAGATTTGTTTTCTTTTTGGTGTCAATGGTGATTAAAGCAGCAGATTGTGAAGGCATTTTTTGTATTCTTCTTTACAATTTTACTAAGCATACTGATTTTTGTGTGTATAACTTATAATTATCTAAGTTTGAAAGACAACTTGAAGGTAGATGCAAGTTTTGCAATCAGTTAGATAACAATTTTAAATTGCAGTTATGGACTTGCAACTAAGGAGCAGCTATTTATTTTTATTCAAGCAATTTTTTTGCAGTAAATAAGCACAAAAATACAATACTTTTGAAAGTCCTTTATGCCAATCAGTTGTCCGCAAGAAAATTTTGGTGATCCATGGATAAATTTGGACATTAATCAACTCAAAGTTACACAAAGTATTATGAAAGAAATGCAAAATGCTTGGTTGCTTTTTCTCACTCACTAGGGGTTTTTTATTCAAATCTAAAATCAAACACAAAATGACTGTTATCAATAAATAATAATGTCAATAAATCAATAAATAATGTGAGTGCAATTGTTGTCCTTTATGGAAAAAAGTCAAGAATCTATAAACTAATTTTAAACAAGCAGCAACAAACTTCGCACTAATTTGTTATAATTAAATAATTGAATTTCATATTAATAAAATGAAATGCAACTTTAATGATTGTGATTCTACAGATGTTTGTATTGTTTAAAAAAATTTATAATAGTGGTCTATGGAATTCAAAATTGTGATTTTAGTGAGGTCAGAAAAGTTGGCGACTGCTGCTTTAAATTATGCTGCTAAATATAGTCAAAAAATGTAACAGATATTCTAACAGCAAAAGATACAATCTTTTATTAAAAAATAATAATAATAAGATTCCAAAGGATCTTGACAAAAACAAATTTACATAAATTGTTTGCTGTTAATAACTGCTGTGCTAACTGGATATATGATTGTTGAAATGATGCAAATATTGTCATGAATAGAGACCAAATTATGTATAGATTCTTTTATTTAGTAAATTTATTTATTGCTATGGCTTTTGTTTGTATTTTATTATGTGAAGCAACATAACAAATCTTATGTTTGCTTCAAATTATATAGTAGAGCGTCAATTATCCGAATGCCGATCAACTGAAATGTCGGTTAACCAAAAGCATTCCAGTCGAACTGCATTGTGCTGAATCAAATGTTTTTGATACTAGATTAACTTCTAAAGTATAATTTTTTTGTTGTTATATTTTTCAATATATTTATTTTGTTTGAACAAAATAAAGAAATAATTTTTAACAATACAATAGCCACGATTATTATTATAAAAATTNTTTTCATTTTCATGTAGTAAAGGCTCTATGCCTTCATAAAGGACGTACTTTTCCTTTGTTTAAGGGTATTTGGGCAGTTTATTCTCTGTTATATTCTCAAATAAACAATACATACAAGTACAGTACAGTATTTTCTGAGGAAACACTCATACTTATTTTTTATAAACCCATTCCCGATAACCCGGCATTTTCACAAACTCGGCCACCCTTCGGTCCACATTAGGCCGAGTTTTCGAGACTCTATTGTATTGTTCTTCGAATTTTTAACAAAATTTAGTTTCATAATAAAGATAAGAAACACGTGACTTCCGGTTCAAACAGAAATTCGTAGGTCTATTGTAGTTGATAAATTTTGTAATTGCATATATTTTTTAATCTCTTATATAACCTATGTGAATTTAATATTTTTAGAATATGTATTTAAGAGTATTAATTAGCTATAACTAATAATATATACTTTTAAGTTTATATATGTCGCTATAAATTATTAAATTTTTATTTTTATAATGCATTTTATGATTTAAATTTTTTTATAAATAAAACTAAATCTAAATACACATATTTTGCATTTACAAAAACGTGGAAAAAATTCAAGCATATTTTATATACAGTAGAGCGTCGTTCATCCGAAAATCGGTTATCCGAAACGTCAGTTATCCGAAAGAATTCCAATTGGCAAATTTAAATTTTCGCCAGTGCTGTGGCGCTGCAATCTTTGGCTATATCTTGGACTACTCCAATATATATATTTTTAATGTGTGTGTTTTAGCTGGCAGCACTGGTACTGTACTTTTGTGTGGTGTTTTTCTGAGGATTGTGTGTCCTGCTGCATCGAACGTTTTTGATACTAGATCAACTTCTAAAGTATATATTTTTTGTTGTTATATTTTTCAATATATTTATTTTGTTTGAACAAAATAAAGAAATAATTTTTAACAATACAATAGCCACGATTATTATTATAAAAATTTTCGTTAGGCTTAACATCGACGAAAATTCAACGTGAAGCGACATGCAATGGAAGAAAATTTACTCATGGGATATATTAATATACTATTATTGGGATATACTAATATACTATATTACTAATATATTTTTTTGTGCATAATTGGTTATCTGAAAAATCAATTTTTTGAACAACCCCAGTTCCAAACTGATTCGAATAATCAACGCTCTACTGTATTAAATTATCAGTTTTTAATAAAAATATCTGCTTGAAACAGGAGCTTTTATTACATTATCATCAGCAAACATTTTATTATACATTTATAAATCAAATAACTAATAATGATTGTACCTAAAAATAATTTTACATTCATCTATTTCATTCACTTTAACATTGTTTTATTTTTTCTTTGAAGTTTCAACTTCATTAAATGTTCAAAACATGTAATGATGTTGATTAGAGACCAGTGAAGACAAGATTTTCTAGAAAATTCTAAATATTTCTATATACAGTGGTACCTCAGGATACGAACACCCCAGCATACAAAATTTTCAGGATACAATATGAAATTTGAACATAATTTTGCTCCACGGTACGAACAAAAACTCACCATACAACGTTACATTAGTTTGCAGCGCCATTTTTTTATTCACTTCTGTTCATCGGTCTCAGTCCGTGTGCTTGCTTCATCATGGAAGGATCTCGCTCGATAAAGAAAATCTTGAGGTATTATCAGAAAGTAACTGATTTTATTGAAAAGAAACATCCCGAAAAGGTTCACACTGGCCGTAATTGCTGCTCAGAGTAATGACATTTGACTAAGTCATTTTAGAAACATTTTAAAAAGTAGACAAAGCCAAACCTCTTTGGATAGATATTTTACCAAGCGACCTCTGTCCAGTGAAAGTGCTGGTGGAAGTGAAAGAAAGATGGCAAAAAGCAGTGAATAAAAAATTTAAAAAATATATATAAAACAGAAAAGTTAAAAAATTAGTGTTAAGTTATTTTTAAGTTATTGTTACATTATGTTATGTAAGTTAAGTTTTAGTATCATTTCCCTTCTCCCTCTTCTCCGCCAGCAGTTTATACCTCCACCATCGTCTATCCTCAAAGATAAAGTGCAAATAAAACTACATTTTTTTAATCAATTACTATTCTATTATGGTTATTTATACATTTACAACTACAAAATGCATTTTTCAGTGTTTTCCTTAATATAGTTAATTTTTTTAATGTACTACTTAGCTTTAATTTCAGTGCGTTTTTTGTGTTGGAATGAATTATTTGGTTTTACATGTAATCGTATGGGGAAAAATGATTCACCTTATGAAATTTTCATGATACGATCTCAGTTTCAGAACGGATTAATTTCATATCCTGAGGTACCACTGTAATATAATTGTAAAATTTCAAGACCAATTAGCATTAAGCATTTTTTTATTTTAATTTGAATTTTTGATGAAGTATTTTTGCATTTTTAATCTCTATGCCCCTTTTTTTATCTTATGGTAAATTTATAACAAAGGCATAAGCAACCATGGATGCTAAATTTTCTCCCTATAAGCAATCTAGCAATTAAACTTTATCCTTACATAATAGCATTTCATTTGTTTTTCTTGATATTTTTCCATTAAAATTTTTTTGTTTAAAGAACATTACTTACTTGTAACAATAAAATAAAAACTAATTATAATCCACTGATAAAACATAACAGTGGCATTCATCACCATGCACACTAATATAAAACATGGCATTTACTATCTGTTATAACAACTTAAAAACTTACTAAATATTTATTCACTAGCACAATCTAACAGTCAGCAACACAATTGCTATGAAATATATTCAAGATAAAAACATTAAGAACCATTGAATTGTCTCTTTATTCATTGTTTCATTATATTTATTAATCAATCCACAAATAAGTAAATTTACATTTGCAAAAATCAAACTGTAAATATGTAAAATGAACAAAGAGCTTTATCATCCAAAGATGGCAATACACCTATTTATAATGGCAAATTTAAAATAAAACCTTGTCATTAAATTATATTTAAAAAACAAAACTATAATTTGGTAATTTGTACAGTGTCATATTCAAACTTATTACCTGATGAATCTGTACTTTGTCCTTGAGTAACCAAAATATGTGCATTGAGTTCTTGCAGTTCTTGTTGTAATTCATGTAATTTGCTGTTTGCCTTCTTTACAATAGAATTGACATTAGATAAACTTTTTTTGTCTGTGGTCACTTTCCGAAGATTTTCAGCACCTTCTTTTATTTTAAGTTCTTTACGAATTTCTTCTTTTAATTGTTTTTTAATGTCTTCCAATCTTTGTTGAATACTGACATCTGATAAATCTTGATGAAAACCATATTTGAGGGAAAGATCACGGTGTATAGACTGGCTACGGCTCATAACGTCCTGAAAAATTAGTATAATTTGTTTTAAAATGACAATTTTTATACATAAAATGTCAAAAAATGTTCTTATATGTATTACAAATATAATTATAAATTTATTGAGACATTTCTTAGCAAATCAAGTAAATTTCCTTATTAAGAAAACAAATCAAATATTTAATTCTAAATATATAATCACATTCTTTTCAAACTGCAGTTAAATATTAGGTTGTTCGGAAAGTAATTTCATTTTTTTTACCACTACACAGATTAGTCGTATTTTTTCCGCTATTTTTATTCTAAACCGTATTATCATTATATATTTTGATAGCTAGCATTTTAAGGCTTATTTGTAAAAAATTTTGTTTGATTTTGTGTAATTGTTTATTTTTTGTGTCCCATCAAATATGGAAGACCAAAAGCATCATTTTCGGCATATTTTGCTTTTTTATTACCAAAAAATCAAAATGCTGTTCAAGCAAGAAAAAATTGTAGTACATGTATGGAGATGATGTGTTAAGAGAAAGACAGTGCCAAAACTGGTTTACAAAATTTCGTTCTGGCAATTTCAATATTGAAGACACACCACGTTCTAGATGGCCAGTTGAAGCCAATGAAAACGAAATAAAAAGTACTGATTGAAGCAAACTGCCAAATAACAACACGTGAAATCACTAAGAGATTAAATTTGTCAAATTGAACTGTTTATGATTACTTGAAACAAATTGGTTTCGTTTCAAAGCTTGATATATGGGTTCCACGTGCTCTTAAAGGGAGATGCTCTCTTTGGTGAAAGTTTAAGGAAATTTTGTTTTTGGAGCTTTTACCAGACAATTTAACAATTGATTCAAAAGTGTACTGCCATCAAGTAAACAAATTGAGTAATATAATCAAACAGAAAAGGCCAGAATTGATCAACAAAACAGATGTAGTGTTTATAATGTCAAATAATGTCAAATTTCATACAAGTTTGGTAACTCGTCAGAAATTGTTATAACTTAGAAGGGACGTACTATCACACCAACCATATTCGCCAGATGGAGCGCACACAGATTATTACTTGTTCTGGTCTATACAAATTTTTTTTAAACTGTAAGACATTTACTTGAAATGACAATGTCAAAAATCACTTGGATCGGTTTTTTGTAAGCAATGATCAAAACTTTTATGAATGTGAAATCATGCTACTACCAGAAACGATGACAACAGGTATTTGACCAAAATGGTTGATATATAATTCGATAAAATATTTATTTATTATAAAACTATTGTTTTTTTTTCCACGGAAAAAAAATGAACTTACTTTCCGAACAACCCAATAACCAAACTTTGACAAAAAACCTTTAAAATGCAGCTTTTTATTAACTAATCGAACGTTTTCAGCCTTTGAATGACCTTCCTCGGAAATAAAAATCAAATGATTTCAATTTTTATAAAACAAAGTTTGTTAATGGAAGGACTTTGAACGTTTGAATTTTCATAGTTGTCTAGTGCACAAGACCGTAAAAATATAATATATATGGGTTACTTGTACAAATATGTACATAAACGATATATAAATATAAAATAAGAATAAGTAACTAAATAAAAATAAAATAAATACATAAATAAATAAATAACTAAAACATTAACACAACTGTGTTAATGTTTTAGTTATTAATTAGTTATAAATAAATAACTAAAACATTAACACAACTGTGTTAATGTTTTAGTTATTTATTTATGTCCCTTTGTCCCTTTTCATACTAAAGTATTCAGATTATGCACGCTCTCCATGCTGCTGAGACTTTACTCAATTCTCTAAAGAACAAGCAGCCAGTCACCGCACTAGTGACGTATGTTATAGCCAGGGCTATGGAGTCAGAGTCGGAGTCGAGAGGAATTTTTTCTGCCCAGAGGAGTCAGAGTTGGTAAAAATGTGTCGAATCCGACATTTTAAATTTAATTTAGTTTTTTTTTTATTTAAATGAAAGAAAATTTATTTTATATTTAATAATTTTTAAAAATGTTTTTGTATTTTGTTATGATTCATTTATTTTAAATACAAAATGCAACAATTTAATTTATTAAATATGTATCAATCCTTTGTAGTGTTTGTGTTTAGTATTAAATTATTTTGACCTAAATGAATTTGAATATTTTTTATTCATTCCTTTATTATCCTTTATTATCCTCTAAATAAGTACTCTATTTTTCTGAAAGAGCCAGACTAATTGATCAGAGTATATATTTTTCTTTTCTGAACAAGGGGCTGAAGTAGCTAGATCGCACACTTTTTAGTTGAACTAACTTTTCTGGAAAGGTGAAATTGAAGTGCAAAAGCTGTAGAATAAAGATATGTAGATGTAGAATTTTATCACTCCCCTTTTCCTCTTATTAAATACTGTATTTGTATTGTTAAAAATTAATGTCTTTATACAAATAAACATTAATGTAAGTTAAATATTAAAAATACTAACTACAAAAGTATTTTGGTAAATGCCCAGTGCTCCTTTTAGAGTTCAAAGTAGGGTAACCCCTATGAGCACCTCTGCCCCCCATAAAATGACTTGGTATTTAATTTTGCCAGAGTCGGAGTCAAGTGTTTTTTTATTGACTCTGCAGCCCTGGTTCTAGTAGACCCAACAGAGGTAATAGTGGATTGGAAAAGAGCTAAAATAATACAAAAGATGCAGGACAAGAGACACTTTAAATATGCAGAAGCAAGGCAAATACACAAGACCAACCAGGAAGGACAAGCAATAAACTTTAGAGAATCAAGTAAAGTCTCAGCAGCATGGAGAGCGTGCATAATCTGAATACTTTAGTATAAAAAAGGACAAACAGTTAAGGAATTAAGCACAGTTGTGTTAATGTTTTAGTTATTTATTTATGTATTTATTTTATTTTTATTTAGTTACTTATTCTTATTTTATATTTATATATCGTTTATATACATATTTGTACAAGTAACCCATATATATTATATTTTTACGGGCTTGCGCACTTGACAACTATGAAAATTCAAATGTTCAAAGTCCTTCCATAACAAACTTTGTTTTATAAAAATTGAAATCATTTGATTTTTATTCCCAAGGAAGGTCATTCAAAGGCTGAAAACATTTGATTAGTTAATAAAAAGCTGCATTTTAAAGGTTTTTTGTTGATGTTTGATTATATAATCACAAATAATAATTATAAGATATTATTCAAAATAGTTTACAGAGGCAGATTAGGACAATCCATGATTCCTGGTGTTGTATAAGTATATTTATATAGATATACATACACATTTAAAATAATGAATTGTTGCAATAAGTATATTTTATGTAAATGAAGATTACTAATGTTATACTTGTAATAAATATTGGTTATTTTTTTTTTGTTATGTTTTGCTTTTTAACAGTGATATAATTCAACAATAAATGCTATTATTTTTAGAAATATTTTGATAAATACTATTCTCATTTTTTCCCAGATATCTTTTTGTTTGCAATTTTAACTTTTATGCTGTGTCAAATGCACTTAATTTCTTTTCCAGTAAATCAAAACAAGCAAATGTGGTAAATTAAACAAAAAATTGATAAACATTATTTTACAGCATTCCAGATCTCAGTTTAATATCTCATCCCAGACTGTCACTTAAATTACACATAGAAAACCTGATTAAAAAATCTTCATATGTAGTTGACTATGATTTACCTGTTTGGGCTTCAGTCTCAATGAGACTGAAGCCCAAGCAGACTTATGCTTCATTAAGTCTGCTTACTTCATTAAGTCTGCAATACTTCAGACTTAATGCTAAATTGTCTAAAATATATTTAACTCTTAATAAACTTTCTAACATACCTTTTGCAGACTCAGCCAAAGTAGCCCATTCCCATTTAGATTTACCCCTTCTCTTCAAACATATATAATACTTATCAAATATATACATATAAATATTTCAATGGCTTACTCCCTTTACAATATAGCCACATTTGCATCCCATCCATTACAAGACAAAAATCCTACATTTACACTATTTTGCCATTTGAATGTTACTATTCAATCATTTTTGTATTGCCACCATAAAGCAATTGAAAATCTCAAGGACAAGTTCTATCTAAATCTCCATAATTTAAAGCCATTTGTTAAAAAAATACTTTATTATAATTAATGTTTTTAATGTTCATTTACACATTTGTATTATTATTATTAATTTTTTTTTTAAATTTGTTGTCTGATTTTGAATTGAGTATGTTACCTAATTGTTGTATCAGGGGAAGGCACTTATTGTCTACAAGACATCGTCTTTTTTCTTTGATAAAATAAATAAATATAGTATAAATATATGTTAATAAATTTTATAACTAACTTTTAATTAGTTAATTAGTTTATTGAGTGTTTTATACAAATTCATATTCTCTATCAAATTAAATTATAAATGAAAAATTATCAAAAATTCTTTATTCTACATAATTATGCCAAGTTGTAAAGCTCAAAACAAAAAATTAAACTTTAAATTTAAAACAGAATTAAAGTACAATGATTTTAAAGTCTGCAAGATCTCTTGACATTTATTTCTGATAATTTGCACTAAATTTTCAAAATATAGAAAATGCAAATGTCATTAACAATAATGAAATTGGTAACTTCACTTAACTACTGAAAGTCAATATTCATAATGATATCTATGTATTTTCTACTGCAAAAAATAGAGATTTGCCAGATTAGTGGAAGATGTTTAATATTCATACAATATCTATTTGTCAGATAAATTAAACACGTTAAGAGCACAATGTTAGAGATAGTATGATAATTATCTGTATAACATCCTTTCTATAGCAAAAAACTGGTACTGTTGTGGTGACATTTACTAGCACAAGGGACTAAAGGCCAAGCTGCACTATCAAAAATATGATTAAAAGAGGAAAACACATTGAAAAATGTATAAAACTGTACAGCACACTAAACAATAGTATGATGTCCATAGCAATATAAATAAATAAACGCCATGCAGTCAATAAAATAATTTTAAATGGTAAAGGTAAAATCAAAAAC